AATTTTAAGCTTTGTGCAGTGTTGGATGCAATGTGCTGATAGGAAGTGTCCTGTGCAGCCTGAGTGGTTGGGATTGGAGCTGATGGCACAGAACTCTCTTCTTCAGTGACAATTGTGGTAGTTATGTTCTATTTGCCGACCTGCCAGGGTGGAGATGTGCTCAAATCAAACCCCAGGGTGATGAGCCCTTCAGGTTTGCCAGCTCAGGGAAATCAGCTGGGCACTGTCCTGTGCTGAGACGAGCCCAGGCTTCAGCTTGCAGTGGTTGAAACTTGAGGGTTTTCTCTCAAATGAAATCAGTCTGAGAATCAAAGTAAAATTTCCACCCTTCCCCAATCCGGAGGGACTCGTTTGTGTGAGGTTTCAGCAGCAGCAAATGTGAGGCTGGTTCCAGTGTGAGAGGGTTGCTTTGAAGTCTCCACAGCTGAGGCTCCTCAGAGAATTTGGGGATGGGAACTTTATTTTCAGTCGTGGTCTAGATGTTCATTGATCTGGGCTGGAAGTGTGGCAGCAAATGAAAGAAGCATTAACACTCAGAATTCAAGAGCAGGGACCAGGCCAGGAGCATTAAATTCTCAGCATCATGACCACAGCCCTATTTGTAACATTAAAAATGCATTTGGATGCTGTGAATTTGGCAGATGTCAAGTGTCTATAAAACACTTGGTAGAGAGCAGCTTTCTGATGTGAATAACAACATTCAATTGAGCTATATATTGGCTAGAATCAAATAAAAATAACACGTTTCTAGCACAACACCAGCAAGCAAATAGAAACCATGGAGGTATTTTAACCATTACTGGGGAAAAAAAAAACCCCAGTGTTAGTTCAGTTAATCCCCAAGCAAGGAAACTTCATCTGAAAATTTGCCTTTTCTCCCACTTCACTTTACATTTTCTAGTAACACACAGGCCTCTTAATTCCTATTTGCATATTTCCTGGTACTGAAGGTATTTTCTTGCACAAGATTCCTGATGGGATGCATAAAGAGGTATTTGGAAATTAACACACCCAGTAATGAGCTGCTGGTTGATGGGGTGATGTGACAGCTCTGTACCTGACTGGAGGAGGAGGAGGCTGTGTCCATCTGCAGCACTGCAGGGATTTGGAGAGACTGACTGTAATTCACTGGGCTGGTTTATTTTGGCTGGAATAATTGTTGCTAACAGTGTTTTTTGTCAGCCTGGTACTGTAAGTCACTGGAACATCACCTTTTAAAGAATGCATCACTTCCAAATTTAACAAACAAGTCACAGTCTGGTCCCACCTCTCGCTTGGGTTATTTTCTTCTCTCCTCGTGCTGCTTGGAAGATGTGGTGTGAGGAGGTGACACAAGGGATGATGTGTGGTCTGACCTCAGGAGCTGCTTGGGACAATGCCAAGGAAAGCAATTTTTGAGGCAGTCTCCCAGTGATTCATGGTTTACCTCTGCTCCCCATTGTTTTACACCGCTGCCTTTGGAGTCTTTTGCTGTCACATCTCAAGGTGAAGGAGGCTGCAGAGCTGTGGCTGATTCATGGGCTGTGTTTTTCCCTCCAGCTTTGGAGAATTTGGCAAACAGCAGAGCTGCTCACTGGCTGCCCAGCTTACCTGGGCTCAGGCTGTGAGCTGGGGTTGAGTTTTCCACCTGCTGTGTGTGTGGTGTGAGCACAGCAGCTCCCACTGCATCAATCCTGCCTGAAAAACAGGGATGGCTGGAAAAACACAGTGGCCTTAAACTGGGGAGTTTAACACCCTTGTGTGTTCCTATCCATGCATTATTCTGGGGACTCACTTCTGGAAGCAGGACAGGCCACATGCCCTCCTTCCCTCCTGCACCCAGGATGCGTCAGACACACTAAACCACAGAGGAGGAATGTGATCCCTGGCTTGTACCAAGCACTCTGTGCCTGGAGCCGCTCCCCCCAAGCCTGCTTCTGCCAAATTTACAAATTTAGTGGTTTTTACTAAATCTACACTGCTCACAGCAGTTGGGAAGCCTTGGTCAAACATTAGGGAAAAAACTCGGACAGTGCTGGCTCTGCCTCCCAGCCCAGCCGTCTCCATCCCCACCATGGTTCTCAGCTGTGCTGGCACTCAGAGGTTGCACAAAATAGAATAAATAATTCAACTGGTCCTGCCAAAATTACTAATTTAGCTGGTTTTTGCTAAATTTACAGTGCTCAGAGCACTTGGGAAGTCAAACATTGGGGAAAAAGTTTGGACATTGCTGGCTGTGCCTCCCAGCTGAACCCTCTCCATCCCCACCATGATTCTCAGCTGTGCTGGCACTCAGAGGTTGCACAAAATAGAATAAATAATTCAACTGGTCCTGCCAAATTTACTAATTTAGCTGGTCTTTCCTGAATTTACACTGCTCAGAGCACTTGGGAAGGCTGGGGTCAAACTTTAGGGAAGAAGTTTGGACCTTGCTTTCTCTGCCTCCCAGCCCAGCCCTCTCCATCCCCACCATGGTTCTCAGCTGGTGCTGGCACTCAGAGGTTACACAAAGTTGAATAAATAATTCTGATGGGTTAATTGTAGCTTGCAGGCTCAGCTGTTGATTGGAGTCATATGGTGTTTTTCCAGCGTGTCACAACCTTGTTTTCAACATCCTCGTTTCGTACAGCCACAACAGATGATGTCTCCAGCCTCTTCATTCCTTCCTGCTCCTCTGCCCCTAGAATGAACTGCAGGAAATGCAATAACTTCACTCCTGGTTGCTGTTTGGGGTGTGTGTGCATTTCCATGTTTCCCAGTTGCACTGATGAGGAAAGCAATGAATGAGTGAGGCAAGGTGCTGGGGCACAGCTGGGAGAGCACTGCCTCTCATCCATCATGGCAATAAAAGCAATTCCTGGCCTCTTGATACTGCTTTTCCCTAGAATTTCTATCCAAAAGAAACCTACTAATAAAATAGTAACAAAAGCAGGAGGAAAATGCTTTTAAAATTCATGATTCACCCTTGTAGCAGGAGCAGAGTGTGAAGGGAAATGCATTTTTGGGATTCTGTGGTTTCCCCTCTCTTTTTACAGCTGAAAGAGCAGTCATTAGTTACATTAATAAACTTCTGTATTGCACCTTGAGCAATTAGACCTAATTTCATGCCCTAGATGTTGGTTTCTTATCCTCTAATAACACTATTTATTAAAGATGTTGTGTTTTCTTATATTTGAAATTTGTTTTGCTATTTGCTTTACTCTGTCTTTATGGTAATTGGGAAGGTGATGGTTTTCTTTGATTAGTGGTTAATTTTCTTTATTTGTTTATTGGTTAATTTTTTTTTATTTGTTGGTTAATTTTCTTTATTTGTTTATTGGTTAATTTTTTTTATTTGTTGGTTAATTTTCTTTATTATTGGTTAATTTTCTTAATTTGTTTCCTCTACACACAGTATTTTACTCTCAGATGCTATGGTTAGAGTGTACAGCAAAAAAAAAGTTTAATTGATTTCTTTTAACTGTGTTTTATCACAATTATTAAATATCACCATTGGAGAAATAGGTTCTTTTGAAGAAGCTCTGAATTCCTGGGATTGTGCAGAAAAATCAGCATTTGCTGTTAGTGCTGAAGCAAAGGGAGACAGCAATTGGCATCTGTGAAGAATTTCAGGCTGAATCTTGAATTTTATCCAGACCTATCCAAAACTCAGACCATACAAAACAGTTGCTGCTTGCTTAATAATTTAATTATTAATTATTAATTACATTACAGAGTAATGTGCTGCAGGCCTGAGCACAGAGACAGAGCTAAATATGTTGAAAAGAGCATTCTTTGCCCCTTTGCTTTGCACTTAATCCACAAGCCTTTAAATGGGGGAAGAAATTTAATTCTCAGGAGAATTGGAGAGGCTGCTGGGGACTGTTCAGCCCTCACACATTTTTGTGTGTTCATGTCCCTCAGAGAACATCTGTGACACCAATGCAGAAAGTGTTAACTTCCACATGATTCAGAACATTTTTCAGAGGAGACTTTCCTTCCCCCCCCCAACTCTGGAAAATGAATTATAAACCATCTCCAGCTTTTTCTACTTTTATTATAACCCAGCTATATTCCAGCAAAAGCTCCTGGCAGATAGTTTCCTCATCCACTTCCAAATGAAGATGTGTTAAATTTATTTGCTGAAGGAACTTGTAGCTTGTGCCGTAACCTTGGTCATGGGACTGGATATAAAAGCAGAGGGATAGAAGCCCACTGAACAGCAGGGAACAAAGTGGAGCTGGAAATGTTATCAGGCTGGGGAGGCAGAAAGTGTAGAATTACTGCAGAAGGCAGATTTTGGCCATGTGGTTCTGGATTTTGGATTTTGGACATGTGGCTTCCTTCGCTGCATCCACGTGTGCTTCACGCTGCTGTGCCATGGTTGGGTAAAGAAAAGGGACCAGGTGCCCCAAGGAAATAGCGCTTAAATCCTATTTTAAATATTAAAAATGTTTTTTAATCCTGTCAAATGGTGAGAGCCATTTCCTGGGCTCCACCTCTTTACCTGTGCTTAGAAAGAGCCAATCCTGCTGCAGGTGTGTGGGAGGCTGTGCTGCCCATTCCAAAGGAATCAGCCTCATGTTTTCCACCAGGATAATGTCCTGTTAATTCAGCAAGGGGTTTGCACAAGCACTCAATGTTCTGTATATGTGTTTTTTATTTATAATTAATGATGAGCATAGAAGTTTTGTGGAGGTTTCATTTTTCTGCTCTAAATATCTGTTGATCAGGAGTAAGTTCTACCTACTTAGTATGTCAAAATATATTCCAGTAACCTTAAAGAGCTGCTTTCATAAAATATCTTGATGAAATTTTGCCAAATCATTATTGTAAAGTGGATACTGAAACCCTGGCCCACTCAGGTTCAATATTCCAGCGTGGTACAGACTTTTGTTGTGCTGCTGGTATTTTCTTTGTGAGAAAGCTGCTCCCCTCCAGTGCCCCAGCCCCAGGGAGTGTCAAGAGCAACTGTGTATTTCTTAGAAAGGTGAAAACTGAATGCAGATTTTCTTTCCACTCTGACCTTTTTTCTTTTCCAGGCCCTGGAAGAAGCCCAGAAAGCCATTCAACAGCTCTTTGGTAAAATTAAGGATATTAAAGACAAGGCTGAAAAATCTGAACAAATGGTGAGCAGCACTTTCTTTCTGGCCTTTGGAAGGGAGGGGACACTGATTTTCCTGGCAGTGACATTTTTGTCCTTGGTCCTGGCTGGTTGGGAATTTCCTGTGTTGAACCTGTGGTGTCCACAGGGCTGCTGAGCTGACAGTCCCAAAGAGGAGAGAGTGGCTTCTTATCTGCTGGAAATTCCATTGCTGGGGCTTGATATTGAACCAGAATCCTTTTCCATTCCCCAGGTGAAGGAAATCACCAGGGACATCAAGCAGCTGGACCATGCCAAGCGTCACCTGACCACCTCCATCACCACCCTCAACCACCTGCACATGCTGGCAGGGGGGGTGGATTCTCTGGAGTAAGTCTGGGAATTCTTGCTGTGAGGTTTGTGCAGTGTTCTCTATGGGTTTGGCACAGCCTGCCTGGTTTCTCTGAGGGAATTTTGCTCCCAAGTCTGGATTTCTGCTGGCAGATCAGTATTGCTATGAGTGACCCCCAGCCTGGGTTGTTGTGTTTAATAATTTGCAGCATTGATTGCTTGTATGGCTCTGTTGATTCTTGGTGATGAGGAATGAGTATGGCTTCAATAAGGAATCCTCATTAGGGATGTACTCTTGGGAGGATTTTTGTCACTCTTGTATCTAAAACTGCAATGAGTTTTGGTAAAGGTCAACTCTAATTTTTATGAGTTTAAGGAAACCTTGCAGCTTGTACCATGTGTAAATTGGGGGTTAAATATTTCTAATAATCCTTTTTGGTTTTTTTAATATGCTTGAGGAGCACACAATTTAGGAGAATACAGGTTTTTTACATGTTGCATCTGTGAAGTTGCACAGCCTGTTCTTGGTTTGTAGCAAATCCTGCACGAACGCCAGGTCGTGAAATGCTGAGAATTAAATTTTACTCAGCCTGCTGTCTCCACTGGAATGATCCTAAAGGATGATATAATAATAAATTAACTTGATTTTCTTTTTTTTTTTCCCTGTCAGTTCCCTGTGAAAGTTATTAACAGAGAAGTCACGGCTAATGGCTTTTCAGCATCCTTCTCCTCCAGAGAAGCTTTAACTCACACTTTGTGTGTGATGACGAATGGCTTCACTCAGGTCATTACAGTCAAATAACATTTACTGCCTCCAGACCCATACTGGGAAGTGGATGCATTCAGTAGTTTACATGTTCCTTGCCAAGTGTTGCTTTGACATTTATGGTTTTTTTTGAGGCATTGTTAGATTTGTGCCAGATTGGTTTATTTTAGCATCGCTTAAGTGAAATTTTAATGCAGCGTTGGAATGTTAATGAAGAGCTTTGTGTTTTAGAAAAATAAATTTCAGTAGGGACCAGTGTGACCCAGTGGGGATGAAGTAACCTGTGGAATTGCCACCCAGGACTTTCATTGAATCTGCCTTTGTAAATCTTTAATTTCCTCTGCAGGGCTATGACCAGGAGGAGACAATATGGGGAGGTTGCCAACCTTCTGCAAGGTGTGGTGAATGTGTTGGAGCACTTCAACAAATACATGGGGATCCCTCAGATTCGACAGCTCTCTGAAAGGTAAAAGGTTCAAACCCTGAGCACTCCCTTTCCTGCTGGGGAGCAGGGTAGGAAATGTCTTAGGCAGGTTCAGAGTCTCAAGGAGGTGAAAGCTTTGATTTTCTGGAGTTACAATAATTTGGTGAGGTTTGGTGCGAGTCCCCACCACCCTCAGCAGTGGCAGGTGAAGGCTCAGTGGTCACTAAGCCACCATTTCTCCTCAGTCTTGGCTTCATTTGGGATGTGACAGCTGGGATTTGAGGGAACAAGGTGCTCCCTGTTCTGGGGGACAGTGCTGTCCCTGCCTGAGGTGACTTTGCTCATTACTGGGGTACTCAAAGGAGTCTTCCAGGCACAGTCATTAATTTTTTTGTGGTGCCTCCCTTTGCTAAGACAGCAGCTGGCTCCCTGTGTTGTTTAGTGATGGAAACAGAGTTTGAATGATTTGTTTGTAATGTTTTCATGTAAATCTGTTGGACTTTCTTTATGGCACAGACACCTCTTCCAGAAAACACAGATGGAATCCATGAAGCAGAGCAGAAGAAAAATCCACTCTAAATCTAGAGAAGGGATGGGGCCTTGTTTAACAAAGCATTTGACCATAAGCATTTACTTAAATGAACATGAACATCAAGGAAATGTAAACATATGTCAGTGCTTTTCTGAGCTGAGGCTGTTGTCTATCCCAACCTTGTGCTCAGAGATTGCTTGCAGTGGTTCTGCCCTTTGGGCAGAAACCTGCTGTCATTGGCCATTTTAAGGCCAAATATAATTTAAGCCTTGCTCTAGAATTCTGGCTGGTTTTCCCTTTCTGCTGGATGATTATTTAATACTTTTGTAGTTTGCTGATTGTTACAGAAACCAATTCAGGCTGCTGCTAAAAGTCAGGGTGGTTTCGAGTCAGGCCAGCAAGACTGGCAAGGACATGGAGGAAAACTTCTTTTGTTTTATTCTCCCTTTAAGATAAGGATCTGAAAAGCTCAAGAAAGTCTGTTCCTCCTATTTTTAGCATTGCCTCGGCAGGGTTTTCCTCCCAGTGTTTATACAGAGAGAGCTGCACCATCTGGTAGTGATAGAGGAGGCTGCTGTGGGGTGAAAGGAGCTGCTCTGGGGGCTCCTCACTGCTCCACATCCAGGCAGAAAACTCCTGCAGGGAGGTCCAAGGCACCATCATTCTGCTTTTGGAGTTTGACTCTGTGGCTGTGTGTCAGGGCCTGGTTTGGAGTTGACTTTTCTCTCTCTTTTGCTTGGAAATCCTTTTGTGATTCATGAAACATCAGAGGAAGTTTGCCTGGGTTGAAGGAAACCTTGCAGCTTGTGCTGTGTGTGTAAATTGGGGGTTAAATATTTCCAATAATCCTTTTTGGTTTTTTAAATATGGTTGAGGAGCACACAATTTAAGAAAATACAGGTTTTTTACATGTTGCATCTGTGAAGTTGCACAGCCTGTTCTTGGTTTGTAGCAAATCCTGCACAAACGCCGTGTCGTGGAATGCTGAGAATTAAATTTTACTCAGCCTGCTGTCTCCACTGGAATGATCCTAAAGGATGATAGAAAAATAAATTAACTTGATTTTCCACATCCAGGCAGAAAATTCCTGCAGGGGGGTCCATGGCACCATCATTCTGCTTTTGGAGTTTGACTCTGTGGCTGTGTGTCAGGGCCTGGTTTGGAGTTGACTTTTCTCTCTCTTTTGCTTGGAAATCCTTTTGTGATTCATGAAACATCAGAGGAAGTTTGCCTGGCTTCTTGCAGGGGTATTTTTAGACTGTGAAATTGCTGGGGTTTGATAGCTCATGGATTTGTTTTAATGGTACAAGTGGAGCCTCTGGGATGGTGGGGAAGGCAAGAAATGCTTTAGTAGATGTTGGCACAGACCTGTGACAGTAACCAATGTCTGTTATATACAATAACCCCTTTATATGCACTGCTCAAGGAGCAGATTCTGTTGCTTTCTGAAATAAAAAGCCTCTTTTTTTCCTGGTGTGAATGGAGTGAAGCCAAGTACGAATGGGAAACCATGGGAAGGAGAAGTGCCTGCTTGGTGGTGCTGGATGTGCTCTTTGTCATGGGGTGTCCAATTTAGGCTGCTGCTCCTGGATGCTGTGAGAAGCAATGATGTGTTTTTAATGTTGTTTTCCACCTGTTCTGTCCCTTTGAAAACAACCAAGCCAAAATCCCACTGTAAGGATTCATTGGAAACCTGGACTGAACTCTCAATTAGCTGGCTTCTTGTGCTGGTCCTGTTGAGTATTGATGTAAAAATGTCACAGTTCAGAGCCAGATGTAAATATTTTCCTAAGAGCGTTCCTAAAGCAATTTCTAAGGCAGTGCATTGGTAGCTGTTGTAGTAAACAGGAATATTTTCTTATCTCTCAATGCTCTGCTGTTTTCTGAGTTTGGAGGGAGGTACAATTAGTGGTCCCAAACCCACCCAGAAAAAATGATTTGCAGGCCTAGCAGATAGTGGAAAAAAGCCTGGAAAGTATTTAGGGGAAAGATAATTATAAGTTTGCCACAGGAAAACAGGCTGGCTCGGCCTCTTTTTATCTCAGCAAGCTGCCAGGCTTGGTTTAAGGTTTCTGGTAGCTTTGGCTAAAGGAATTGTGGTTTCCAGTAATTAAATGTCATTTGAAACATAGCAGTGGGTTTTGTTGTTTTTTATTTTTTAAAGGCAGGGGAAACAGAGAACAAAAGCCACTAGTAATAAAACAGAAGTCAGAGGAACAGAAATCATTAATAGCTGGCTAACCAGAGGGTTTGGCAGCCCCAGGAAAAGGCAATTCCCTGCTGTGTGGGATGGCTGCTGGGGTATCCCAGGTTCTGGGGGAACCTACCAGGTAAAGAGACCCTTATCAAACCACCTGAGGCTCTGAGAGATCCTAAATCTCTTATCTGGGCTTGCTGAGCCAGCTCACCTGGTGCAGGGTTGAATGTCCAGGCTTTTATGACTGCACTTTCCACTGCATGGAGAATATTCTGAATTATTGCTGACAGCTTTCCACAGGGGCACTAATCTCCAGTGGCTGAAGCAGGTGCCCCCCTTGTGCTCTGCCTAAGGCAGGTGAGCTCTAAAGAGGTGGCAGAAAGGTTTTCTTGCTTCTGGCTGCGTGTTCATAATTGAGAAAATAATTGAGTGTTTCTGTGTGTGTGTGGTTGTATAAAAAGTGAGTTTTTCTGGGAGGGCACTGGGGCTCCCTGTCCTTGCCCACACCTCAACTCTGGCTCTGCCCTGTCCCTCTCTTAGAAAATATGAAGAAAAAAAATCTTCAAACTTGTTCTCCCTGCCTGCTTTTGAGAGATTTTTATGCAGGACCTATTTTTAAAAAATACATATTTTTAACATCCCACTTGAGCAAGGCATTCCTGCGAGTTTCTTAATTTAAGGATACGAGAATCCCCATTAAGATTATCCTTAAGTACTTTCCTGAATCAGAGCCTAAACCAACAAAGCTTGTGGACAGGGCTTTTAACTGCTTGACAGAGGCTCTTTTAAATGTGTTGAGTCTTGAGGAATCTGGCTGCTGCTCTTTTCAGTGCCTCCACTGTGCTGCACTGCAGCTGTTGTCAAACAGAAAGGTCCCCACAGCCACTCAGAGGGAAAGAAGTATCACTGCTGATAGCTTCCAGTTGTTCATACAAACTCACTAATTTCTGTGACTCCTAATTCCACACACTTCTTGTTTCTGGTTTATTTAGAAGATAAAAAATTTCTTTTTTTTTTTTTTCCCCACTTCTTTTCCTGGAGAATGCAAGGTTTGTTTCTGTGATGCTTTCTCACATGAGCTACAAGTGCTTTCTTGTAGAATTTAAGCAGGAGTAAACCTGTAGCTGTGGCTTCCTCCTTACTGATTAAATTCCCCACTCCTATTTCAACATATTGAATTAGATTTCAACATTTTGTTTCCCACTTATGAAGTTGTTAACTGGATGTCTTTACCTGGAAGAGTAGAGGAGTCTCTGAACATTCCTGTGAAGCAGAGAGCTTAAGTGAGAATTATTTTTGACACTGCAGGCAGGAAGCTTTTCCAACAAAATCCCCATAAATAAATCCTGAGGAAGGCAGGTCGTCCATCCAGTTAAATCACAGATATAAATTTATATTTCAGCCATCAATTTTAAAGGACTGGAATTTTCTGCATTTGGCACCAGGAAAGAATCCAGCATTGTCAGATCATCTTGTGGGTTTTTCCTACTAATGGAACTCAAATGGGAAGATTAAAGAAGCAGATCATTCCTTGATAAGGTCGAGGAGTCTTAAACAAGCACAAAAAAAATTCCCAAGTCTTCTCCCCACAGTCTGAACAAACATTTTCACAACAGTAAATGTCGCCAGTCTTGCTAAAGTATCAATCTCAGTGGAAAAATCCAGTGTGTGAGTGATCAGCTCAGAGCTGAAAGCCTTTCCAGTATAATAAAAACTGATGGAAGAATTCAAGGGCTGCAGAGGGATAGAGGTGCCTCACTGTTTGCTTTGGCACTTTCTAGTGTGTGTAGGCATTTCCATTTCCCTAGAAGTATCAATTAAGCTGTATTGACTTTTATTTCTGGAAATTGGAAGCTTTATTCTCTCAGCCAAATAAAGAGCAAGGTTGTGGTTTATTCTACTCCCATTTCATACCTTTTGCTCTTTTGTGCTTCTCTGAGACACTGAGAATTTATGGGATAAAGCTGCTGCCAGCTGTATTCATTTAGAAGTGGATCAGCACACCTGGAGCTGTGAAAGGTTCATGGTGGAGATTGAGACATTGTGAAGCTTTTTACATGTTGGAAACATATTTCTGTTGAAATGTGGGCAACAGAAATGAATTTCAGTGTAGGTCGCACTGGCATTAAAGGCCTTTCAAATAACTGATTAAGTGGCTCTTATTGAAATATTAAATGGCAGCAGGGCAGGAGAACCCAGGACATGTTCTGCTGCAGCTGAGGGCTCAGGAATTGCCATTCAGGGAGCAAAAAGTCTCCCAGTTTTGACACAGAGATCTTCTAAGTGTGACTATTTTCTCTTCAGCATCCTTTTGATCCCTTACAAACCTTCCTGCGCCTTGCAGGGAGGTTTTTGAGACCCCACAAAGCCTTTCCTGTGTCCCCTCAGGGTGAAGGCAGCACAGAACGAGTTGGGGCAGCAGATCCTGGCTGACTTCGAGGAGGCCTTTCCTTCCCAAGGTACAAAGGTAAAGTTCTCACTTTCCCTCTTCCTCCCATTGAAAAGTGTCACTGAAAGCTCTTCAGGGTGATTGTGTTGTTTGATTTAGTCTCATTTTTCCTCTAGGTTTGGTCTCTCCCTGTTTCAGGAGTTTCTTTAGAAAGCAGAAGGTGATTTCTGCCACCCTTCCCTTCACTCTGCACCCAGCTCCTGCCAGAGGGCTGCAGCCAGGCAGGGAATGCCCAAAAAATTCATCTCTGGGGTTTCCTTGGGGTCTCACCCAGTCCCTGGTTATTGGTTTGTCACAAAAATCAGTGTTTTGTTCAGAGGAAGCCAAGCACAGGCTGGCTGCTGACACAGTGCCACCAAGTTTGTGTCTGGTTTGCTCAGCACAGATACAAATCTGGGCTGGGGCTAAAGCACCAGCTGTGCTTCCCCAGCACTGTGCATCCAAACATTTGCAAACAGTAAGGGGAGTAGGTGTGAATTTGAATTTACTTCCAAGAAAACACCAGTTCTGTCTTTCAAAGTACCAGCTCTGCTATTTTCTTCATACAAGTACAGAAATGAGGAGACTCTTTGTGAAGGGCAAATCTGTGTCGGTGAGAAGCAGCACCAAAGCAGCTTTTTTTTTTAAAAAAAAGTTTCTAAATTTTCTGCCTTTACCATGGAACAACTTCATGGTCAATGAAATGGAAGCAGCTCAGTTTTCATGCAGTCATAAATAAAGAGTAGCAGCAGAAAAGAGAATAATAGGAAAGGATAAACTTGGATGCATTTACAATCACCCATTGAACTTATTGAACCTGAAATAGTTTTCTTCCTGTTTATTTTGACAGAGGACTGGTGGGCCCAGCAATGTCCTACGTGATGCCTGCCTGGTAGCCAACGTCCTGGACCCCAGGATCAAACAGGAAATCATCAAGAAATTCATTAAACAACACCTCTCCGAGTATCTGGTCCTTTTCCAGGAAAATCAAGATGTAAGGGAAGCTTTGCAAGCTCCATTTGGATTTCACATTTTGCTCTGCTGGCATCCCCAAAGTTCTCACTTCCACAGGTTCCTGTGGTGAAAGGTTTTTATCCCAAGGGCTTGGAAACTGATTCTGGGTGTGATTTGGAGTGGCTGATGAGCTGGGAGTTATCTCTGCCATGATCCTCCCACCTTAGACCTCAGTTTCTCAGATCATCACTAGAAACATTTTCTCCCACATATAGAAAATAAATTTGTGTTAGTTTTATTTCAACCCTGCAAAGGGTTGAAAAATGAAACTGAAAATTGAAAACTCAACAGCACCACCCCCCAAACAATCAAGAAACACCCCAAAATGCTTAGGAAGCTGAGAGGGAGTGATTTCTAGAAAGTGAATTATCTTTATAGCTAATTTTTAAACTTCCTATCCTGATACTAACAGCTTTGTAGAAGTTTACCATAACCTTCTTGAATTTGGAAAAAAACCCCACACAAACCAGAATCACCTTTAGATCAAAATGTATTTTATCAATTTCAAATGTTTGACATAGGCAGTTTAGCCTTTCTCTATTCTAAGTTTAAATAACATTTTTCCATCAAAGTTTTCTGGATTAATCTTTCTACTTTTTGACCAGAAAACACAATTATTGAGGGGAAAAAATCCCATCCTGCTCAGCTTGTAAGAATTTTAGCTGGAATTTAAATGTGAGCTGAATGTAAGAATCCAGGAATTGCTGCACTCTCATCCCACTCACTTTAACCTCTCTGTCTGAAACAAAGAGGGTGGGATCAAATGAAATATTATTGGATTGAGTTTTCAATAATCTCTGCATGATTTAGGAGCACTGTTATCCTCATTTTCAACAGAACTTGCTCTCTTAATTCGCACAAGATAGGATTTTCAGTCTGGCATGTGTTTAAGCACTTGGAATCCCAGAATCATTGAGGTTGGAAAAGACCTTTCAGATCCTTGATTGCAACCCTTGCCAAGCCCACTACTTACCCTGTCCCTAAGTGCCACATCCACACATCTTTTCAGTCCCTCCTGGGATGTGACTCAGCCAATTCCCTGGGCAGCCTGTTCCAGTGCTTGATAACCCTTTCAGTAAAGAAATTTTTCCTAACATCCAAGTGGGATTGATATTCTCTGAACCTGGGAGAAGCAGGGAGAGAAGCAAAGAATGATCAAAACAATTCTTATCTCATTTACTGCTCCTGTGTTGTTGACAAGTGGAATGCATTGTGGAAGGTTGTTTACCTGAAGGGAATTGGTGATTGGATTTTGGTGTGAGTGTTTTGATTCACTGCCCAATTGAATCCAGGTGTGTGTGCAGTGGAGATGAGTTGAGTGCTTGGCAGATTCAGTTTAGATGTAATTTAATATAATACAGAATAATATAGTATAATCAAGTAATTAATTAGCATTCTGATAGGATGGAGTCCTCATCATTTCTCTCGGACATCGGGCAAAAATATCACCGATAATCCAAAGCATTCAGAGGATGTTAATCAATGTAAAACCATGAGACAGGGCAGAGCTGCAGCAGCACAGCTCTGAATATTTGCTAAAGATGCTGATGGTGCTAAAAAGTCTTTGTCCTTGGGGTTCAGGTGGCCTGACTGGACAAGATTGACCGACTCTATGCCATGATCAAGAACAATGTAAAATAATCAATGTAAAATCACCTCTGATTGAGAGAGAGCAGAGCTGCAGCAGCAGCACAGCTCTGAATATTTGCTGAAGATGCTGATGGTGCTAAAAAGTCTTTGTCCCTGGGTCCAGGTGGCCTGGCTGGACAAGATTGACCGGCGCTATGCCTCGATCAAGATGTTAATCAATGTAAAATCACCTCTGATTGAGAGAGAGCAGAGCTGCAGCAGCAGCACAGCTCTGAATATTTGCTAAAATTGTTGGTGGTGTTAAAAAGTCTTTGTCCCTGGGGTTCAGGTGGCCTGGCTGGACAAGATTGACCGGCGCTACGCCTGGATCAAGCGGCAGCTGGTGGATTATGAGGAGAAGTACGGGCGCATGTTCCCCGCAGAGTGGTGCATGACGGAGCGCATCGCCGTGGACTTCTGCCACATCACCAGGTGAGCCCCTCTTGGGTAATCACATCAACAGACAGACACAGAGCTGCCCCAGGATTGTGCCACACCACCAGGTGAGCCCCTCCTGGGTGTCACACATCTCTGACAGACACAGAACTGCCCCAGGGTTTTCTGTAAGAAAGCTCAGAGAATTAAAACAATTATTATCTCTCTTTCTGTTATTTACAGATATGATTCTCCAGAGTGTACTATTCATAGTTCACCAGTAGTGTAAAGAAGATTCCTAAAGTGTTGCTCTGATTTTTTAAGATTTCTTTAAGCTTTCTGATGTTTACATTCTTGTAACAAACTTTCTCACACACTTTATGTAAATAACTTCTTGTTTTGCATTCTTTTATGGAGGAGGAGAAATTGAATAGACTGTTAGTTTGTCCAGTGTCATTGGAGAGGTGGCACTGTCACCCTCCAACCCACTGTCACTTTTGGAAATCTATAAATATTAGAGTCAGAAAAATAAAAGTCCCTTTTTTACCTTAGAAAGAGCAGCGAGTCTGCATTGTGTTGTTTCCTATCCTATAGTAGTGACACTAAAGGGCAATCAGGTCTTAAGTCCACCATTGTTTCTGTAAAAACATAATAATAATAATAGTAATAATAATAATAATAATAATAATAATTATTATTATTATTATTATTATTATTATTATTATTTCTATTAAGGGCAAATAAATAAATAATAATTAATCAAATAATAAAAATAATAAATAATATAAATATAATAATTATATATTATATAGTATGAATATAAAAATATAATATGATAAAAATAGAATATAATAAGAATATAATAAAATATAAAAAAAATAAAAATATAATAATAATTTTAAAACCTCTGTAAATTCATATAATAATAAAGGGCCTTTTGATGCCTTCTGATGATAGAGTCTCTGTATTACCTTTGTCCATCCCAGTACCCCTTTGGTGATACCATGCAGCTCCTGCTGCCTCCCAGCTTCCTGGAAATAAAAGTTTGGCTTGGCTCTTGCCATGAAGGTCAGTGTCTAAAGGCAGGGGTGAAAATGTCTCTGTGGAATTGTCTGTGGTTAAAAGGAAGTGAGGAGTGAAAAGCCTGAGAAGCATCGCTAAAACGATGAGATATTGAAGTGATGTGAAAATCAATTTTCAGCGTAACAGAGGTAAAAATCAGCAATATTTCAGGCCAAGTGGAATAGCCTGAGCTGACTGTGGTGGCCAGGATCTTTGCCAGCCAGAGACAGGGAACAGAGGAAGGTGCCAGTGGAGTCCCAGTAGCACCATTGGCTTTTTTCTGGGTTCCAGTGGGAATCCCTGAGCTTCCCAAGCTTGGATCCTCAGGGCTTCCCCAACAGGAGATGGGGTCCTGTTACCCACAGAGCTCCCAACAACCGTGGCTGTGTTTGAAATGGGATCTGCAGAGCAGTTTTATGTTAGAGAGCCTCTTAGGAATCAGCCTGAATTCTGTGATGAAAGTCTCTCTGGGGAGCAGACTGAGTTCCAGTGTTGGGTTTCAGACCTTTATAGGAAACCACATTTGTTTTTTCTATCTCCCCTCTCTCTTGCAGGGCAGAGCTCTCCAAGATCATGCGCACCAGGGCCAAGGAGATTGAGGTGAAATTGCTTCTGTTTGCAATTCAGAGAACAACCAACTTTGAGGGGCTCCTGGCCAAACGCTTCTCAGGCTGCACTCTTGCTGATGGCACAGGGGTAAGGGCATCTCTGAGGAGCTCTCTTTGCTCAGCAGCTTGCTCAGGGGGAAAAAATCCCCTCACATATAGCTCAGGTGGTGGAGAATTGAAGAGGGTGTCACCTGCAGCCTCTCCTTGCTCAGGGTGTTCAGTGTGGCTCTACTCAGTATCACTTTTTTTCCTGTATTGGAAAAAATATATTTTAGTTGTGTAGACTATAGAGAAGATGGCTCAGTGGTAATTCTGAAGAGTTCTCCTTTACTCAGCAGCTTTCTCAGGAGGAAAAAACCTCCTCACACATAGCTCAAGTGGTGGAGGATTTAAGAGGGTGTCACCTGCAGCCTCTCGTTGCTCAGGGTGTTCAGTGTGACTCTGCTCAGTGGCCTGTACTGGAAAAGGGATTATTTTTTAGTTGGAAAAATGATTTTTTAGTTGTGTAGACTATAGAGAAGATAGCACAATGGTAATTCTGAAGAGCTCTCTTTATTCAGCAGCTTGCTCAGGAGGAAAAAAACCCTCACACATAGCTCAGATGCTGGAGACTACAAAAAGTGTCACCTGCAGCCTCCCCTTGCTCAGTGTGACTCTGCTCAGTGGCCTGTACTGGAAAAGTGATTATTTTTTAGTTGGAAAAATGATTTTTTAGTTGTGTAGCCTATAGAGAAGATGGCACAGTGGTAATTCTGAAGAGTTCTCCTGTACTCAGGAGCTTTGTCAGGAGGAAAAAACCCCATCACACATAGCTCAGGTGCTGGAGGCTACAAAAAGTGTCACCTGCAGCCTCCCCTTGCTCAGGGTGCTTCACTGGCCTATAGCTGGAAAGGTGATTTTTTAGTTGTGTAGACTGTAGGGAAGATGGCACAGGGCTCACAAGAATAAAAAATACACTGCTTGTGTGTGCTTTTTGGGTTCTCCTGGGGCCCTGTGCTGTTTGAAGCCACAGAGTGATTGTGGTGTGGTTAAATGCCTTGTAATGTTTGTCCTCTACATGTCAGTGACACATTATAACTAAAAGTCTCCTCTTGTCCTCATTTCTGGGTATCACACATTGACCACATGGTACCAGCTTTCAGTCCCACATTGTTGGGTCGCTCTGGCTTGCAGGGACATTGGCAGCTTCTGCTTTGTCTCTTTTTGTGGATTGTAAAGGCAGAACCAAGAGAAAAAAGCTCAGGGAATATCTCTGGAGCCATCTCTGAGCTTTTCCTGCCTGGAGTCTCAGCCCAGAGCTCTGCCAGCCAGATGCACACACAGAGCATGTGTGCTTGGCTTCTCTGTCCAGCCTGGATGTGAAAATTCAGCCTCCAAGGAAAGCCTGCTGCACCCACTGGTCGTTTGCTAATTAAAAGAGGAAGTCCTGTGAGGTTTTCCTCCTGGCTGAATTTAGATCTCTCAGGAATATGGCTTTATTTATTCTGACAAGTTTCATAGAAAACTTGCAGCTTTAATTAAATTGACTTCTCTGGGTTGTTGTGAGAAAAGCAGAAGGGAAGGGTGTGGTTTCAAATGACAGAAAATCCTGTGTTTCCCTCTTTCTGACATGTCCAGAGGCTGTGACACTCTGGCTGTCATTTGCTCTGTTTTTTACCCAAAATGAAGGCCACCATTATAAATAGCTGGCTGGGGGAGGGGGGGGGACAAACAGTGGGAGCAGCAATTTGGGGTTTATTTCAGGGCAGAGTTTTGGAGCTGCTGTTGTGGTTTATCCCAGTGGAGACCACACACTTTGGAGTGGAAATGTCACACTGGATAAAATGTCACACTTCCAAGGAGGATTCAGGCAGCATGGAGGGGTGGAGAGGGAGCCAGGAGCTGATCAGCTCTGCTGGGAGAAGGGAATTTGCTGGGCAGTGCTTTGAAGGGCTCAGGAAAGCAAAATGTGGGTGCAGCCGTGTGCCAGAGGGCACAAAACTGGCTGTTCTCTGATGAGCTCCCTCTTTTCCAACAGAAGAAGCCAGAGGTGCCACCTCCCTCCACCAACCCCTTTCTGGAGGATGAAACTGGGGCAGAGACAGATGAGATTGTGATGGAGAAAAGTGATACAGACAAAGTAAGTCTTTGAAGTTCCCAGTTCTCAGCCTCTGTCAGAATCTCCAGTGGGGCCTCAGCTTTTCCCATCCCATTGATTTGAAAAGTTTGTTTTCACAGCAATTAATTTAGTGCAGTTTTGATCCTTTGTGCAGCATTCAGGCTCCCAGTACGACCATGCTTTGCTCTGGCTCACTTCACTGAAACCAAAGCAATCTTTATTCCAGTTAATAGTGCAGAGACAATCCTGCCACGTGAGAGTGAGCTGGATTCTGTTCCAGCCTCTACAGCAACAGCCCAGATGTAACTGCAGCATTTCTGTCAAAGGGAGATGAAATAGCTATTTGGGTTTTCAGATCCCCAAAGAAACTCCTCTACAAACAGTTGCAATTCATATTTTGCCCTGTCAGCCAAGCAAACTGTCTGGAGTCACCAGGCAAGTCATTGAACTTTCAAGTGTCAGCTTTAGATTTTCACCCCAGATAAATCACTTGTGGGATTTTTATCTTTCCAGTGCTTTTTATCCATTACCTCTGCAAAGCAGGCAGCACCTCACTGCTTGTACAAGCACAGGGCTTCCAAAGCCCTCTGCAAACATTAAAGGGTGAACGGTAAATGCAATTGTTTCAATTGGCACCAATATCAAAGCCTGTAATTTTTTTTATACACCAGATGGATGTTTTCTAAATGTTCAGTTGTGGGTTACTTGAGGCTGGTACTCTCCTGTTATTTAGGGGATTTACAGCCCTGTAAATGGGCCATGTACAGGTGTATCCTGATGGGTGACCAGGGCCTCAGGACCTGCTCAAATCCATGGCCCTGGGGAGAGCAGGAGGTGGGAGCTCTCTGCCTTCATCTGTTACAAACATTTTTTATGAAAAACCTTTTCTTTAGGATTTTTCCTTTTGAGAAGCTGAGAGGCTTCAAAAACAAAATGTAAACAATGGTTATCTGCTGCTGTGGAATGCAACAGGTAGATTTTTGATTGGCCTATGTTAATTGTTTGTAATTAATGGCCAATCACAGTCAGCTAGCTCGGACAGAGAGTCTGAGCCACAAGCTTTTGTTATCATTCTTTTTTATTCTATTCTTAACTAGCTTTCTGATGAAATTTTTTTTTTATTATTTTATTATAGTTTTAATATAATATAATATATATCATGAAATAATAAATCAAGCCTTCTGAAACATGGAGTCAGATCCTCATCTCTTCCCTCATCCTCAGACCCCTGTGAACACAGTCACATTCAAACTCCTGAAACAGATTGATTTAAGCAAGGTTTTGCTCTTTCCATCAAAATCCAGCTTGGACAGTTGGTATTGTGTGGATTTTATCAGTGAGGCAGAGATTGGGAAGCTGGGGAGACACCTCTGATGCATTTTTTGGGAAGAGTTTGCTTTCCAGTAGCTCATGGCTGGACTGTTGGCTGGGATGTGCAGTGCTGAGATGAGAGAACATCCTTGGAGAAGCCAAGGTGTTAGGAGGCAGGTGAAGAGATAATTACAGCAATTAAGGCTGGGTTTATTGAACAGCAGAATGCAGCAGTTCAGGAGCTTCTGAGAGAGGAACTGCTGCGTTCTTTTTACCGTGTGAAGCCATCCATGGAGAGGAGACATCCCTGGAAGTGCAGGTTGTGGTGAGGCTGCCCTTTCCCAGCAGGAAACAACAGCTGCATCCTTTAACCTAATAATTTTCAAGTTAGATACTAGTGATTGTATGTTTGTCACAATGTTTTTAGGGTTTTCCTCCTTTGGTTTTAGTTGATCAATATTTTGTGTGTTGCCCTTATGCAGTGTGGATTAACCCCAGTTCATATTTCGAGAATAAAAACCTCTGCCATTTTCTTTGTGAGATTCCCTTTTGTCTGCAGAAATATTTAAAAGAGCTTTAAAAGTTAGAAAAGCTGTGAACACTGTTGAGCATAGCCCCAGATTTTCCCCCAATTTTTATGTAATTTTAATGTTTTAATACAGTCATGTGTGGCAGATAACTTTCATAATTCCCATGAGCAGATAACCACTAACCTGTGAGTCGGAGTTAACTTTGATGCAGCTGTTGGTCTCTTTTGGGCTCTGCTGCCCTGCAGCCTCCTGGGGCTCAAACATTTCAGTGTCCCAGTGCCAGCAGCTGCTGGTTCATGCTGGGAGTGCTGAAAATCTCGTTTTTCCTGTCACTGCATGAAGAACAGAAGGGACACAAAGAGAAGATAAAGGGTTTTCAGTAAAAGAGCCCTTCCAAGACATCACTCCTGAAAATTCAAGACACTTGGGAATCTAAAAGGGAGCACAAGAATTTTTTTTTGGGGGGGGATCCATGCTAAAAAAGCACCTCTTTTGGTAATCCTAGCAGTTCCATTTAATCTGTTTACTTTGGATAGTAATGAAAGGAAACTGGGCCAGCTGCAGACCTCCTTGCTGTGACAACAGTAACCTTTTATTATTTCCATCAAACTCAAGGAGGAAATAGCTTAAACATCTGCAGCTTTTGGACAGGGTTGCACACTCAGAAATACAGCTTCAGTGCTACTGGTAAAAGATTTAATATTCCTTCCACCAGACATGCTGGGAGCAGCGTGGTGCAGAGGCACAGAGAGCCAGGCCTGCTGCAGGAGCTGAGTGCTAAACCTGGTGAATCTGCAGCTTTGTGCAGGCACTGCCATGCCAGGGCTTTGCAATGGGAGCTTTCTCTTTCTGTGATTTTTGTGAAAAAATCGGTTTTTGAACTATTTTTTAACTCCCAGCTCCATTGAGTGAGTGCATCCTGCATTGGGTGGAGGATGCCTGGTCATGGTTCTGTCCCGAGGCTCTTAAAAGTTCAGTTCTTCATTCAAGGCTCACAGAGGTGGTCTGGCCTCCATAAATCCATTTCCCCACTTTAGGTTTGCAGCCATAAGTTGGGATTCATCATTTGGGGCTGAATTGTTGCTGAGAAAAGTTTGCCTTGTCACACTCTGATAGTTCTGCCAAATTCTTAGTGCCACCTCCTGCGTTGTTGAGGAGATAAAGTCCTTTAGGCTTTGCTTCTTTTGTTTGGCTTTTCCTGCATTTAAAAAAAAAAAAAAATCAGCTGGAAAAATTCATATCTTCATTGGCTGGGAGCTGATCTTGGCTTTTTGTGGAGAGAGAAGCAAGAATTCCATTCCAGAGTCACTGCAGCCCTTTTTGCAGCCAGGGAAAAGCTGCTGCTCTGCTGGGAAGCAAAAAGAGAAATTAACTATTAGTAAAAAAGAATAATAACAATCTAGCTGTAGGGCAAAAAAGAACTTAAAGGTCCTGCCTAGTTTGGGTACTTAAACATGCACAAATTTAAATGTGTGAGTGGTCCCAGGGCTGTGCTAGGCCATGGTTAATGCAGCACTAAACTCAAATGAGGGTAAACAGGATGGCTCCCACATGGCACCTGTGCTTAATGCTCTAAATGTGATTTAAAAATAGAAATCTTTGCATCCCCAGAAATGTGTTTCACAGTGAAAAGCAGGCCTGTGTAATTCTGGCTCCTGCTGTAATTACATGCTGTTTATCTAAATAAAATTCATTCAGATGGAGCCTGTAGCTCTGAGTTATTGCCCTTGATACTCTGAAATGTAAGGATTCTTTAATCTTGCTTCCAAATAACTGCTACATTTGATTTCAGAGGGGACTAGGGGAGCCTTGTTACTGCTTGAAGGATTCAGGGAGATTTTATTTGCAAACTGCATTAAGGTTCTTCAGCTGAAATCTGTTAGCATGGAGCAGCCTTCTCTTTAAGGCTAAGAATATTTTACAAGTGTAAAGATAATTCCTTGGATTGCTAACAGCTCTCTAAGAAGGAGGGAAGACTTGAATATAATAAGATTTATATGATTTGATGATTTGACAGCAAATTTCTGCATTACAATATCTCTAAATATTTCTATCCTGTGCTGTTGCATTGCTGTTCCTTCAAGGCAGCTTTGAACCAACATTTTAAATGTTCCCTTGCAGCCAAAGAAGCCAAAGGTCCCTGACAATCCTTTCCATGGCATTGTTTCCAAGTGCTTTGAGCCTCACCTTTATGTGTACATTGAGTCCCAGGACAAGTGAGTAGCCAGCCTGAATTTCAGGGTTTGTTTGGTTTTGGATGTGTTGTGCTGGATTCTGTACTCAAGCTGCAGAAAATGAATATATTGCAACTCTGCTGCCTGATTTCAACAGGAGCAGTGTTTGTGGTTCAGGAAACTTTGAGTGGGGCCTTTGCTTGGACAAAATGAGTGTTCAGGAGGCTGTGGAGTTGGGTTTGTGTGTGATTGCAGAGGGCTGTGGAGTTGGGTTTGTGTGGAATTGCAGAGGGCTGTGGAGTTGGGTTTGTGTGTGATTGCAGAGGGCTGTGGAGTGGGGTTTGTGTGTGATTGCAGAGGGCTGTGGAGTTGGGTTTGTGTGTGATTGCAGAGGGCTGTGGAGTTGGGTTTGTGTGGAATTGCAGAGGGCTGTGGAGTTGGGTTTGTGTGTGATTGCAGAGGGCTGTGGAGTGGGGTTTGTGTGTGATTGCAGAGGGCTGTGGAGTTGGGTTTGTGTGTGATTGCAGAGGGCTGCAGGTTTGGTGCCTGCTGCCTTTCTCTGGAAGAGGCTCACAGTTCCTGAAATTGCTTCTGCTCCTCTGCAAGTCCCACTGCAGACGTGTGTCTTTCTTTCATCTCATGTCTTCCACAAATAACAGGGCTGGGTTTTCTGTAAAACACACACGTGGCTTTGTGGCAGAGGAGCTGCAGGATTTGCTTTGTAGGAATAAGTTATTTGAGATCCTCAGATGAAAGCTGGTTGTAAGATAACATTATCATTGCTCACAGATTGGGGCTTTGTCAGGGGCTTTAATCCCTGGCACCCTTCCTCACCTTCCTCTTTGACTTGCAGCAAAATAACTTGAATGAAAGGAGCTTTTAGCTTTGAGCTCTGAGGACTTTTCGGGGCTCTCACCACATTTCCTTGTGCACCTCCATTCACTTAAATAACATCTCAGTAACAACTGCAGTGCCACCTGGGAGAGGAAATAGCTGAAAAAGGTTCAATTTGGTCTTTTAGCACCAAATAGTCTTTAGATTAGTGGCTGGAAATGAGGAGGTTCCTACTTGGAGTATCTCATCTGTGTGTGCTTTTGTATCTTCCAATGAGACAATTCTAACTCAAGGCTTGTACGGTCCTGATTTTATCCAAACTCCATGAAAAACATCTTGGAAAAGCTTTTCCATGTCCCATCAACTTTTTATGCTTAAAGAAATCATTAAAATAGCTGAAACCTTGCACAGTGCTGTGTCCTGCTGGGTTTAGGTTCTGCTCTGCAATATCACAAAGGGAAACTGATATTTCCCCCCTGCCCTCAGCCAACTGAGCACAGATTTCTTTGAGTATTTCTTCCCTTCTCACTGGGGGCCATTTTAATCCCCATTTTGGTAATTCTACCCCACTGTGCTCCTAGCCCCTTCAGTTGCATTTTTTTTTTTCTTTTTCTTCTCCTTTTCCTTTACAATCATGAGATGTTTTATATTATCTTTATAGCCACAAGCTGCAGGGAGTTCAAAGAAAAACTGCCACAGTATTCCCCATGCTGCCCTGACTGCCAAAAATTGCTTCCCTTCACTCTTTTCTCTCTTCTTCCTCCTTTGATTGAACTTTTGAGGAATCTGTTGCCATTGTCTGAAAATGAGATGTTGCTTAGATCATTAATTGTGTGTTTGAGCTCTGAATAGTGAGAGCAATAGTTTTGTCCATCATTTTTCTGCCACATTAAATCTGTGGGCATTTTCTGCCAAAAAATTGTTTCCGTACCCATTTACAGAAACACAGTGCCAAAATCTGCAGCAGTTTAAGAGGAGACACCTGAAAGAAGGAGTTCAAAGATGCTGCTCTCCACCCTCAGCTGCAGGGTAAATATCAGATTTCTGAGCAGCAGAGCAGATTTCATTCCTGCCCCTTTGGGATGTGCATCTTTAGCTGTCCTTTGTGGTCAGCAGCAGCACACAGATGTGAGCTGAGCTGTTCTGGGAGAGGAGGAAGAGCTCTGTCAGGGCTGAGAGTGTGCAGAGCCCTCCTTAAATCTGCTCAGAGGCACATCTGAGTCCAGGGTGCTTGGAAAGCTGGCACTTTGTGCTGTGTGTTTGCTGCCTCATCAGCACAGGGGCTGCCAGAATCCCCAGGGCATGGAAAATACCCTGCAGTGTTCCAGGTGTGGCAGTGCCACTGCTCTGCTTACACCCATTTCCTGAGCATCCTCTTCTCCTCTCCTGGTTCTTCTCCTGATTGCCAGAACAACCCTGAATAGGTTGAGTGAAAGGAAAAAAAAAAAAAAAAAAACAAACAAAAAACAAAGGAAGAGGAATGCAGGAATGAAAAGAAGCAGAATAGAATTCCCTTTATGTGATTTCATCCCATTCTTTCTCTTGGTGAGATTTGGCGAGTTCTCACTGCCAATAAATGTGCTACTGTTAGGAAATACCACATCTGCACTACCAGAGATTTTTCTTGGAGCTTTTCCTTTTTTGCAGAGTCTGTGCAGAAAATACTCATTTTCTGTAGTTCTCCTGCCTTCTGCATGTTTCACCTCCCAGCAGTTTTTTCTGCCAGGCTCTCTGTGCTCCCATTGCACCACACAAAGATTTGTGGCCTTGGTATCATGTCACAGGCATCTTTTCATGAAAATCCTTTCCTTAGGGGTTTTTTCCTCCTGAGAAGCTGAGAGGCCTCAGGAACAAAATGTAAACAATGATTATCTGCTGCTGTGGAATGCAACAGGTGCATCTGGGATTGGTCTCATGTGGATGTTTGGAATTAATGTCGAATCACAGCCCAGCTGTGATTAACCTTTGTTATTCATTCCATTCTATTCTTAGCTTAGCTAACCTTCTGAAAAGAACCTTTTCTTCTATTATTTTAGTGTAGTTTTAATGTAATATATATAATAAAATAATAAATCAAGCCTTCTGAAACATGGAGTTAGATTCTCATCTCTTCCCTCATCCTCAGACCCCTGTGAACACAGTCACAGAATCACATTTGGGCCAAGCTGAGGCTCCTGTGAAGCTTTGCCATCAGCCAAGGTGTGCATTAATGATGAATTAGTTGTTTTAGAGCACAATATCGTGATGTTTTGCTGTCACCAGTGCCATTCTGACATGGGAGCAGTCCCACGGCCTGGTTTGATGGCAGCTTTCTCCAGGCTGGGATCAGAACAAGCCTGAAGCCCCAGCCCTGCTCTCCCAGCCCTGCTGAACAGCTGCATTTCCTCCTGCATCCCACTTGACAAGGCCTTGGAGGGGGGGCAGGAAAACTCAGATCCATTTCACTTTGCCTCAGAGAAGAGGAGAACATGTGGCCTAAACATAAAGAAACAAAAGCCATCGACATTCCTGACCGTGTCTTGAGACTGAGAGAAGGCAAAAAATAAAAAAAAATAAAACCAAGTGACTGGTGAGTGCTAAGAAAGCTCCACTTTGCTGCCCAGCTGGAGGCCAGCACAGATGCAGAGGTGGAGATGCAGCTGTTGGGTTTGACAGGGGGTGAGGCACGTCCTGTTTCCTTGAGGAGCTGCAGGGATGTGCAGGCTGCAGCCCTCCTGCAGCAGCCATCTGTTTGGCTCTGCTACAGCTACAGAGGGAGGTAAATTCTGCTTCTCTGTGGCCCAACACAATCAATGCTTCACTTCAGCCCTCAATTGCTGCTGCCAGCGTGGAGATTTATCACATCAGTGGAGCAGCCTGATGTTTTTACAGTGCTTGTAAGGCAGCTGAGGAGCTGGGAGTGTGCAGTCAGAGCTGTGTGCAGGGCTTGAGCCATAGGCATGGAAAAAGGGGCTGCTGGTCTTTGCAACAGCCTGGCTCCATGATGGAGATCCTGATATTCCAAGAACATCTCTGGAGATAAGTTTGGCCCAGCAGATCACCCCTGGTAGGAGCTCATCCATGCTGAGGCAGCAGCCTCTGAGTTTATCAGGGAAGAGATTTGTGGGTTCTGTGAATTCTCTGACTTGTGGGTTCTCTCATTCCCTGAATTCTCTGACTTGTGGGTTCTCTCATTCCCTGAATTCTCTGACTTGTGGGTTCTCTCATTCCCTGAATTCTCTGATTTGTGGGTTCTGTGAATTCTCTCAATTCTCTGACTTGTGGATTCTCTCAGTTCTCTGATTTGTGGGTTCTCTGTTTCTCTGAATTCTCTGACTTGTGTCTCTGAATTCTATGATTTGTGGGTTCCCTGATTCTCTGAATTCTCTGATTTGTGGGTTCTCTGAAATCTCTCAATTCTCTGATTTCTGGGTTCTCTCATTCTTTGAATTCTCTGACCTGTGGTTTCTCTGAATCTTTGGAATTTTCTCTCTCACACGAGGGAAAGCAAAAAGTGATAAAAACTGGGGGAAAGTTGGTGGTGATGGGTGTTTCCCCTTTCACTGGTAGAGGTCTCAGCCTTTCTCCTGAGGATTTGGTTTTCTCCTTAGGAGCTCTGGATCATGGCACAGCCCAGCCATTGCACCCTCAGAGGTGTGGCTTGTGCCATGGCAAGGGAGAACTGCAGGAAAACAATATTAAAAATAAGAATATAAAATACAGGAACTCCTGGTCAGCAGAGTACCTCTCTCATCTGAAAGGCCTGTCTGTTTCCCAAAATCCAAGCTTCTTTGAGGAAAGCTGTGTGAATTCGCCTGGGGGAGGAGGTTTATTGCTGGAATTCATCTGGCAGAGGTTATTCCATGGATATTCCATTCACCTGGCAGAGGTTATTCCATGGAGCTGGGCTGGACATGGATGTGCTGTCTCTGGAGGGGCAGGACCAGAGGAACTCCCCAAGATCAGGAGATTTTCTGGTTCCTGTGTTGATGGCTCTGGCTCTCTGCCATGCTCAAAAGCCTTTTTGTCCTGGTGAAGGGATGGAGTGAAGTTTATTGTTGCCTAAAGTCTGAAATATTAGAGTAAGGACCAGGCTGTAATGAATCACTGGAGACACTAAGAGGGCTTTTTGTGCTTTTAAAAAGGGTCTGAGTAGGAAGTGCACTTTGTGCTCACGCTAAATAAAACTTCTTTAAGGGATGTGTGAAGTTGTGCAAAACCAGGTGGTATCCAAATGGGACCAAGCAATGGCAAATGGGACTCGCCATTTTGAGCACATCCCTTCAAAATCCAAATTCCCTGAGCTCTGCTGGGATGGGAGGCCTGGCTGCTCCTTTTCCTGGTGCCAGGAATGAAACTTGAGCACAGGCCTAATGCACTTACATCAAATGTGCTGAACTGAGCCCTGGCAGACCTGGGAGCTTTTATGTGTGGCTGGAGAAGAGATTTGAAGCTGCCACTGAAACTCCTGAGCACAAAAAGGTTTGGGCTGTGGAATTGTGTGAGCTTTGTGCTCAGAGTGTGGAGATAAGAAAGGGCTGGGAATACCCAGCTGCTAAACCTGAACTCGCTGCTGTCACAAGACAGAGCATCTCACTGTGAGCATTATTCTCTCTTTTCACTCCCAATTCCTCCCTCAACTGACTCAAATATGTTTCTATTCCCCACCCCAGGAATCTGGGAGAGCTGATTGACAGATTTGTGGCTGACTTCAAGGCTCAGGGTCCCCCCAAGCCCAACGTGGATGAAGGGGGAGCTGTGCTGCCCAGCTGTGCTGACCTCTTTGTGTACTACAAGAAGTGCATGGTGCAGTGCTCCCAGCTCAGCACTGGGGAGCCCATGATAGCCCTGACCACCATCTTCCAGAAGTACCTGCGGGAATACGCCTGGAAAATCCTCTCTGGAAACCTGCCCAAGTGAGTCTGGCACCCCCAGTGCTGCACACATCCCCCTGCACTGAGGAGCTGATGATCTGTAAAGATAATTCATGAATACATCCTTGTGAACACTCATTTCCCTGTCAAACAGCCCAGGTAGCAGCAGGATCACTCCATTTACTTCATGGTTTTCTCCAAAGTTCAGTTTTTTGCACGGAGATAAAAGCAGGAGAGCAAATGGGCAGTCACACATTGTTTTTCTTTTAAGGGCCTCTGGAGAGCAGCTTCATATTTGGCTTTGATTCACAGTCAGATTTGCAGTTTCTTGAAGTTGCTTTTGAAATGCCAGCCCAAGTCTCTTCAGAGGGTCCTGGCTTTCAGAATTGCTGCTTGGGTAACCAGCTCATCCTGGGATTCTCAGCTCCCTTAGCCCAACACCATCTATATGGTAATTTATAATGAAGGTGGTTTATTTCTGAGATGCTGAAGAGCTTCCCTGTGCCTCCCTCTGCTCTGGAACATTTTATCTCTGTATAAATAAGATCTGGAGATGTAAATGCAGTGAAAGGAAAGGAAATCATAATGAGATTGCACCAACATGGATCAGTGTACAGGCTAAAGGTGCTCCTGAGATGTTGCCAAAACTCCACTGCAGATAATTTTATTTGCCATTTAACATCTTCAGCTTGTTTCCTTTGTAAACCTGGGAGCAGCAGAATGACTTTCTGAAACCAGTAAAACCTTTCACAGATGGAAGGGGAGAGGGTTCCATCCAGACAAAGTGGAAAGATAAATTTAATGTGTGTTCTCCAGCAGACCTCAGTTGCATTCTTTATCCACGTTTTTTTGAGTGCTCCATTTTTGCTGTCCAAGATAAATATCACTGTCCTATTTTTTTTTAATGGATTTGGATTATAAAGAGTTGAGAGGTAGGGAATTTCCTGCCTCTAAACTGCTCTGAGTCTGCCTTTGTTGATCCATGAACCTTGTTCACTGGAAGACAGTGAAGGGGAGGGCACACCTTTCATAATTTACTTTGTTGATACCATCAGCTTTTAAACCAGGTTGCCAAAGTCTCAAATGCATGTGGACAGCTGTTTAGTGCTGCAGAGATAAATATGACAAGTTTCCTGATAGTTCTGAGATCCTCCTGCAATCTTTAATTAGATTTTGGATAAGTGGCAGTGAAGGTGAAGCTACCTGGGGAAGGCTGTGTTCCACTTGCATCCTAATCTGTTTTCTTGTCAATGAGTGAGTTGTCCTTTGCTTGAAGCTCTTTGGAAAAGAAATTCCTTTTGTGGGTTTGATGTCCTGTATTGCACAGGCTGTGGTCATAAAGCCCTTTTAGGACATTAAAATCCAGCAGTAATTTTGCACTTTGAGTGTCAAAAACCTCACAGGTTTTATCTGTTTTGGTTTTTTGTTTTTGTTTTTTTCCCCCAGGACAACCAGCAGCAGTGGTGGGCTCACCATCACAAGCTTGCTGAAAGAAAAGGAAGGCTCTGAAGTGGCAAAGTTCACTTTAGAAGAGCTCTGCCTCATTTGCAGCATCCTGAGCACTGCAGAATACTGCCTGGCCACCACCCAGCAGGTGAGCTTTCCTCTGTGTGGCTGTGGAGACTGGGACAGCCAAAAGCACTAAAAAACATCCATTGATTATTGAGCTCTACATTATTCATTCTGTATTTCAAAGAAAGAAAAGTATTGATTTTCTGAGAAAAGTAATTTGCTTGTAATCCTGCTTTGCAGCATCAGTTTTGGGGTCAATCCTTTTCTGCTTGTTACATAATTTGTTTTGGCTTGGGGACCAAATTTTTTTTTTTTTTTAAAATGATTCTCTGTTCATTATCTCCCCTTCATAAAAACAAGCACAACAATAATTTTGGGAAAATACTTGCATGAAATACTGGGGCAATGTGGAGTGGAGAGAGAGGAGGAATTTATGCTGATGTGATTTGCAGCCACTGCACTCATTACATTCAGGTGCTTCCAAAATGCCATGGGTCAGCAATGAGCTGTGATGTTTGGCTCTCTCCAGGCCTCTCCACCACTAGGTCTGGCAATCCTCCTCCTCCTCCTCTGCAGTTTGGGCACAGGCAGAGTGTTGAGAAACATCTTTATTAGCAGGACAGATGCCACAGTGTTAAGCTAGCACGGTAGCATGTCATGCTAGAGTTACATATTTGACCTTGGAGCTTTCATTCTTTGAGCACATGGAGCCACCATGGCCTATCCTGCCAAACCAACAGGTCTGGGATGCCAGGAAGGAAAGATTTCAGTGTCACTAGATGGGTTTTGGATATGGTTTGGCCACAGATGAAGTTTGAAGAAGCTGACCTTTCCAGGGCATAAGTTTTGAAGAGCGATTATTTCGAGTTGGAAACCTGATCTCCCTGTTGCTTGTTTTGTTTCCCAACAGTTGGAAGAGAAGCTCAAAGAAAAAGTGGACACAAGCCTAATGGAGAGAATCAACCTGACAGGAGAGATGGACACTTTCAGCATGTATGTCCAGCACATATTTCTTCCCACAGTGTGTCAAACATCCCCTTTTGTCAGCCAGATGGTGCTGGAGCAAAATCAACCCTGAGGTGCTGGTGTGACAGGATGGGCACAGGCATTTCCCTGCTCAGGAATGGTTTCCTCTGGCTGAGCACTGGCTCAGGCTTTAGCTGCTCCCCATGGCCCAAGCCAAAGGAACAAGAGCACTGGAAAAGGGAGAGGAAATAGTGAGTTTCCATTTGAAGCATGGTTTGCATCTTGGCAGCCCTGCGAGGTGGCTGTTACATTTCAAGAAAAGGAAGCTATTTCAGTACATTCCTTCCTGCTTTAACTTCCCCCTAGTAATCAGCAGCCTTGTCAGTATGATCAAACCCCATTTCAGATGACATAAAAGACTGATCCAATCTTATATTTGGGGATTATAATTGAGAGAAGATTATCATTCATTAAAATAACTTTTCATGTAGCGGTGCTAAAAATATTCTGCTCTAACATCCTTTCCTCTCCACCCCTGACAGACAGATTCAATGTATTTTTTGAGACAAGAAAATTGAAGCAAAAGTTGTTTTGCCTCTTATCAGACAAAAGAATATCTTGGCAAGGCTGGGAAAATAATCCCTGTCACCAGCTCCTCCTCTCCCTAAAACAAAGATTCAGCCCAGATAGCAGTAAGATATTTTTTTCAGAAGACTTCCTTCCTGTGATTCCTCCTTTTCTGCTGCAGTGGACAGGATCCCAGTGAATCTCCATCCAGCTCTTTCACATGGTCCCAGGCTCCATTCCAGGCTGCACAGACTCCCTTCCCTTCCCTCCAGGCTCTTCTCAGACCTTTTTAGGAGTGAATCCCTGCCTGAAATTCAGGGTTGCTGTGTCCACTCAGCCAAAGCAAGCAAGGTAGCAGGGAAGGAGAAATAAAATGTGCCATAAAATGGAGGTTTCTTAGCATGGACAGGTGAGTTTTGCCAGCAGGAAGCAGCAACCTCAGGTGGCTGCTGGATTTCCACAGTGGCTGCCTCAGACAGCCCATGTGAAATGTTTTGGAAGTTGTTTAATGTACGGCTCACATTTGCTGCTTTGGACAGGTTTAAAGTCCAGCTGACAGGGCTGATGTATCTTGTAACAAAGGCTTTTAATTGACTTTCATTCTGTTCCAGCTGAGGGCTTTGTCCAGCCTTCTGTCAGTGGAAGTCTGAGCTATAAACCTTGCTGGCTCATTCAACATCAAACAAGGGGTTTCTTCTGGGATTTGATGTCTTGTTAGGCAGTCATAAAATTAAGTGATAAAATGCTGTTTATGCACCCTGGGAAGTGTTTCTTCCTTCAGAGAAAGGAGAGTGTAGAACCACCCCAAATGTGTAGAAAAGGAGGGGTTTATCCTTGGGGTGGCAAAGCAGTTTCTTTAGGAAAGTTGTAGAAATTATGGGAACTTCTTCTTGATATTCCACAAAAGAAAAATTATTGTTATGCAAATCCAGAAATCCATCATTTCCCTGTTTTGTGGAATGATGGGCAGCACTCAGAGAACCCCTGAAGTGTTGTGCTCAGTGTGGTTGCTGCTGCTCCTTCATGGCCTCAGCTCCTGATCCATCCCTCTGTGCATGCCAGGACTGTGTCAGGAGTCACCCAGTGCTGCCTGCTGAGGATTGGAAGGGTTTTCCTGCAGAACCAGGCTCCAAACCCTCTCATCCAGCACGGGGTGATCCTTTGTGTTCCCAGCACATCCCTCCACAGCAGGAGTTTGTTCTGAAGTGCAGACAAATGAATTTCTCTGCCTGGTTTGTGGTTTTCAGGTGAGAGCCTGCACTTCTGACAGACTCCTGAGCATGGACACAAATGGTGGGGGCATTTTCCACCCACTCAGAGCTTGGTGCTGCTCCTTGGTTGGACACAAATGGTGGGGGCATTTTCCACCCACTCAGAGCTTGGTGCTGCTCCTTGGTGCTGAGCTCAGCTCCTCCGTGCCAGGCAGTGGCAGCAGGTGCCCTGCAGGGTGATTATTTCAGCCTGGCCTGGGGGAATCCCCCGGGGAGGGGATTCTGGAGTGCCCAGCAGCAGCAGAAACAGGCACAGGCTTTTTTTATCCCCATGCAAGTTTTAGATGGTGTAACTTGAAGCCTGTAGTCGCTTCACCTCCCATGTTAATTTTTCCAACTTATTTTGGATGAGTTTGCCTTTGCAAACAAATGGGTTGCTTTGAAGGAAGTGTTTTAATTTGCATCCTGTTCCAGACTTTGTGCTGGAGGTGTAGGAAAGGGAACAGGCAATTTTTCTGGGTTGTGATGAAGAATAAAACCCATGTGGGTGACACCATATCTCAGTGAGAAGGTGGACACTTCAGATATTTTGAACAGTGAACCCCAGATTAGTGTCCAAAACTTCACAAAGACAATGAGGGGGAGGAAAGATGGTTTGAGGAAGCCATCTCTCTGGTTTCTGGTTTAAAAACCCTAAATTGCTCAGATTTCTGACAGCCCTGTGATTCTCATCTGTGTCACCACCATGAGAAAGAGCAAAAGTAAAATCCACTTCTTACAAATATAATCCTGAGGTTGTAAACACGCATCTGTGGCAGATTTAAAGTTGACACTGTTTTTAAAAACTGTGCTTAGTGAAACAGAATCAGCTCCTGCTCCTAGCAGAGGCTGCTGCAGGCAGAGTTTCTTGGCTGCTGTTTTAGGATCAGCTGCACCTCTGTGCACATCATAACATGATGGCATTAAATATGTCTCAAAGCAATATCATGCTGTTCAAAATTTAAAAAAAAAGGGGGGGGGAAGGGAGGGAAATGTGTTTGACTAATGTGTCCTTTAGTCTGGTATATGTCTCAGGAACTCAAACAATGGATGGCAGCAGTCCTAGACATAGTGTAAATAAGACATCTGCCTTCATCTTCACACGTGGGAGACACAGAACTCATGCAGATGTCATTTTTAAAATGCTCTCTGCGAGATCCTGTGAGCAGTAGAATATTGGCTGTGAATAAATGGAGAGCTGATAAAATGTTGGTGTTACACAGCCTGGATTAAATGTGAAGCTGAATCCCAGGCTGGGCTTGATGCTTGGGGATTTCTCCTCTTCATCTGCCACCTTTGATCCCCAGCCCCTTCTTTGTGTTAAAACAGAGAAATGTCAACTGTGAAATCATCCTGTCTGCCCTGGAGCCACTTTAACCATTGTGCAGCTCCCTGCAGGGTTTCCCAGCTCCTCCCCAGCACAAGTTGTGGCTGTGAGCACTCGCATCACAGTGCTGCTGTCAGCCAGTGGAGGATTTTCCTCCTCTCACAGTCAAAGGCTCCAGTTCTGGCACTCTGTTACTCGGTGTGATTCTGAAACTCATGCTTGGTTCTTTTTTTGCAGTGTGATCTCCAACAGCATCCAGCTGTTAGTGCAGGACCTGGATGCAGCCTGTGACCCTGCCCTGACTGCTATGAGCAAGGTAGGGCTGGATTTTCAGATGAAATCACCTTAAGATCCATGTGGAGTTCTTGTGTGCTTTCATTGCTTGATTTCACTACTGATACATTTTTTTACTCTCATTTTTTTTTCTTACTTTTTACAACAGAAATTTATAAATCCATACCTCACTCCAAAGCCTCTCATTATTCAGATTAGAGCTTCCAGGCTTTTTGCACCACATTAAAACCTACAGACAATGAAATACATTCAGTAAGTACTCAAGGCTTTCTCTTTCCACTCCCAATGCCAGTGAGAGCATTTCAAATTTGGAAAAACTTTTGTCAGCGTGAAATTCCAAGTACACCTTCAGGTTTTGCTCTCCCCTTTGTCTCCTTTGGCAGGGAGTTTTACCAGGCTGCTTGTTTGGGGCTCTGAAATGGAGGCAGTGCACTGGGGGTGATGTGGAATTGGGATTGAGCCTTATTGCCTCTGTGATCCTCTCAAGGACATGTGGAGCCATTCCTGGAGAGGCCCCTAGGACTGAGCTTAAGGATTTTGTTGCAGTTACACTGCTGGCTTTTATATGTTTGAAATGCAGAGCTGTGTTTCCTTGCCAAAGTATTGTGAAAACCCAGACTTGCTTTAGACAGAGGTGAAGACAACAAAAGTGGATTGAACTATATATATTTTTTTTTCCCTTTTAATTAGAAATATTAAACATAGAGCTCCATTTTTGTAGGATCAACACACTGTCTGGCTGCCATGAATTTTAATAGCTTTCTGCTTTATGATGTATTCCAGCTGTAACCAGCCCCACCACCACCCCCCAGCTAATATTTGAAGTAGAATGCAGCTGGTAATAGAGCTTGTACAGGTTCCAAATGGAAAGAGGATTTTTTTGCCCGGTCAAACAACACCGCTAGGAAGGGCTCAGCACTTCAGGTGTTGCCTGTGTGCTGTGGCAGCCCCTCAGATCTCCTGAGCCTGCAGAGTACAGGAATATTGAAATCACTTAGCTCTCCCTGTTTATACCCAAGTAAACCACAACCTTGAGAAAGCAGCAGCTGGTAGGCCATTTATTTTTGTCTTTGGAACACTGGTAAAATGCAGCACATGTGATGGGACTGATGAGATATAAACAAGTTTAAGTGTTATGAAATTAGCTAAATAAATACTTGTCACTTGTGCACACACTGCTCTGTTTGCATCAGACAGAGTTGCTTTTATGTGATTTTATTAGACCTGGATTTGGTGCAAGAGGTTTTTTCCCCTCACCTTCCTCCTCCCTTTCCTTCAGGGCTGGGTTATTACTCTGACACTTCAATAAGAAATGCATGTAATTATTTAAACACAGAGGTAGTATTTGGAAATGTAAAATTTCAGCCTATATTAAGGAAATAAAGACTGTGTGGCTGATCCATTCCAGTTTTGCTCTCTCAAGCTCCATGCTCCATTAGGGCTCTTCCTTTGGTTTCTTTTCATTTACCTCACTCTGGTGTCCTCCAGGATTGAACATTCCCAGTCCTTTGTTGGAGTCTGGCTTTGGGTTTTTTGGTTTTTTTTTCTCTTTGCAAAAATGTTCAGGAACTACAGAGGTAAATTATGAAATGCTTAAACCTCTCAATCCACTTTGGCTGCAGGCCACGTTGAGAGATTTAACACAGAAAACAGCATTAGGAATATTGCTTTCAGCTGGGAATGCTGCTTGGTTTCCACGATTCTTTACTTGGTGTGTTCTGAAGAAAATGGTGAATGCTGAGAAGGGCCCATATTATGAAATTTGTAGGTGCTAATCCTTACTCAGACTTTACAGCAGGTGTAGGATGATTAACCAGGACTGCAGGACAGGGAGCTGGGATGTGGGTGGGAGGAGAATTTGCCCTAAACCCCCCTGTTGTGATATTGTGGATAACTAAGAGCTGTTAATGTGTCTGTGCTGATCTGTAGCAGGCACTCACATTGCCTGGTGTGCTTCCTTTTTAATTTCTGGGATGAGGGAGCTGCTAATCTGCACGGGATATTTTCGCCCCAATTAAATTTATGGATTGCACTGGCTAAGGCTTGATTTACATGCTGAATTAAGCATCAATTTATATGCAAAACTGTGCCTGCAACTGGGGCTGGGGGACATTTTAGTGCCTCACATCAACCTCTTGCTGGCTTTTTACATTTTCCTAAACCCTTTTGGCCCAGCTGCAATTCCCTGTGCCCTCACAGCCGAGCGGACGGAGCGGGGCTTTCATCATTTCTGCACTCCACACACAGAAAAACCCCTGAGAGCAGAGCAAGCAGAGCTACAGCTGCTAATTAAGAGCTCTCAGGAGAGTGTGTGAGCCTGGAATATGTGCAGAGTGTGACAGGGCAGGGTGTGACACGGCAGAGCCCAATTTGTGTCCCCAAATTTGGGGCCAGCAGCGCTCCCTGCTCCCCTCCCAGCCCCTCTGCAGGTGCCCAGGCTGCAGCCTGCAGGGAGAAGCTGGCAGTGGGATGCTGATGGGAACAGGGAGAGTTGAAGGTTCATTCCTCCTCTTCTCAATCCCAAATCAGCTCCTTTTCTGCAGGGCTGGACACAGGAAGAGACCTGGTGGCTCTTTGGGGACACAGCACTGTGCAGTGAACAGAGAGAATTGAAGGTTCATTCATCCTCTGCTCCATCACAAACCCCTTTTCTGGAGGGCTGGACACATGGAAGGACCTGGTGGCTCTTTGGGGACACCCTGCCACCCTTGAGCCACTGCTCTTCCCCATTTCTGCTCAGGGTTTCTCTGTGATGGTCTTCACAGGGGTCTGAGGATGAGGGAAGAGATGAGGATCTGACTCCATGTTTCAGAAGGCCTAATTTATTATTTTAGGATATATATTATATTAAAACTATACTAAAAGAATAGAAGAAAGGATTTCATCAGAAGGCTGGCTAAGAATAGAAAAAAAAGGAATGAATAACAAAGGCTTGTGGCTCAGAGTCTGAGCCAGCTGACTGTGATTGGCCATTAATTAGAAACAACCACATGAGACCAATCCCAGATGCACCTGTTGCATTCCACAGCAGCAGATAACCACTGTTTACATTTTGTTCCTGAGGCCTCTCAGCTTCTCAGGAGGAAAAATCTTCAGGAAAGGATTTTTCAGAAAATATCATGGCTACATTTCTCTTTCCTCCTGCCTGTTTTAATCCCATCCCTGTGTTTGGTTGTGAGAAGCTCCTCCAGCCCTTGTGTGTCCTCCCAGCCCTGCAGGTGCCTTTGGGCTTCTCCCTGCAGTGAAATCTCCCTGCTCCTGCTCCTTGCACTCATTTCCAGCCTGTGGATGTAAACTGTGTGGATATCCCAAGAAAAACACAGGACAAGGGAAAAAGAGGAATAAATTTAACAGGACAGGAACAAAGCTTTACCAGCAGAGTTGGGCTCATATTTCTTCTGACGACTTTTCAGTATGTGTGCTATTCCTTTCTCTGCAGCTACTGGGTGGGTTTTTTTGGGTGAAACACACCCACAATGCACACACACACACACACAAAAGGGCTATTTTTACTGTTCATGCTTTAAAGGTTTGGTTGTAAAGTATTGCTTTTGGAATGATGACCAACAAAATGAAAAAGCTACTGTTTCATTGGTGGTGCAATAATTCAGCTCAGCAGTCCCTTCCCACTTTCTGGCTGTTTCCCACTCTGTGGGGATGGTGTGTTGGGTGAGGATTGCTCTGTCAAGAAGGGAAATGTGTGAATCCATCAGGGAGAAAGGCACAGAATATTCTGTTTTGGTGTGATCAGCACCACGAGGAGCAGAAAAGCAGGAAACCAGGGGTAGGACTGAGGGAATGGCTGGAGCTGTGAGGTTTAGGTTGGATTTTAGGGGAAGGATTTTCCCCAGAGGATGCTGCGGTTCCCCAGGGAATGGTCACAGCCTCAAGGCTGCCAGAGCTCCAGGAATATTTGGACAATCCCAGACACAGGTTGGGATTTTTGGGGTGTCTGAGTTGAAGTTGGTGCTCCTTGTGTGTCCCTTCCAACTCAGGATGTTCTGTGAAAACCTGTGGAGCAGGTGATGGGGGAGAAATCCCTTCCAACCACCCAGCTGATGTGAGAGCAGCAGGCTGGGCTTGGTTTGTTTGGTTTCAATAAAAGCAGCTTTAGTGGGACATGTGTAGACTCAGACACTGTGGTTTTGCAAAGAATTTGGCTTTTCTTTCCCACTAAGTCACTTAGGCTGGGATTGTTTGGATGGAGTTGAGTCAGCTGAGTTGCAGGGGGGCAAAGTAGCCATATTAAATTAAATAAAATTAAAACCAGGAGTAAAAAAACTTTATATGCAAAATCCAGAGCTTGGGAAAACAAGTTTGAGGACAAACGGCTCCTCAAAGGAAAAAGCTCATCTTCCATATGTGCCCAGTTTCCTCTCCTGATTTCCTATGAGTTTTCCTCCTGTCTCATCTCCAGCATGAGGAACAGATCTCCAAAGAGTTTTTGGGAGGACACTGCAGAGTTCTGAGAGCAGCAGCAGAACTAAGTGTGCTTTTCTGGGTGCTTGTGTTTCCTCAGTGAGACTCTGGTACATGCACAAGGCCAGGCCAGACCCAATAATCTCTTTTTTTTGGGGTTTTCCACTTGTTTTAAATTGGGAGTACCCTGTGTACTACAAACCAGGCTCAGAGAAAATGAAGAGAGCCACACATCTGGCTCACAGGGGCTGTTCTCCTGCAGTTGTGCTGAGAATAAATGAAAACAAAATGGGAGGTTGAGTAACTCCTCTTGTTTTGTACTTTTTACATGCATTTGGAAGAGCTGGACTTGGGCATCCTGGCTTGTGCACCAGCAGTGTTTTCAGTGAGCTACACTGGTGCAGAGTGCTTTGGACTTTAAGGCTTTTTACCTCTTCCATCTATCTGTCATCAGTCTCACCAGTATTAAAGTCTTGGCTGCCATACAGGAATCCAGACTTTGCAAGCTTGCAGATATTTTCTCAAATGCCTGTAATCAGGATTTATATGGGCACTTCATCCCAGCAAACTGGAAACTGTTAAATATTAAAGCAGCCTGGTGTGCTCCAAAGGCTTTTTTGGTCCTAGTGGTCCCCATTTGTGTGGGTTACTGGTCACAGTCTCTGCTCTGGCTTTTCTTTGGGTCTTCTTGTGAAATGGTTTTGCCCAATCACTATGATGAAGGACTTGACCTTGGTGGTGAATTGCAGAGGCAGTCTCTGAATGATTCCTTAGAGATCCCCTGGCAGGAAGTTTGTACAGTTTCCCTTAGTTGTTACTTGAATGCTGATGAATTAACCAGTCATTTTTGGTTGTTTTTTCCCCTCTGTGCAGATGCAGTGGCAGAATGTGGAACATGTTGGTGACCAGAGTCCTTATGTCACCTCAGTGATCCTGCACATCAAGCAGAATGTCCCCATCATCCGTGACAACCTGGCCTCCACCAGGAAATATTTCACTCAGTTCTGCATAAAATTTGCAAAGTAAGTTCCCAACACAGACACTTTATTCAGCTCATCCCATAAAACACTGTGATGATCACTGGGTGGTGTTTGCCAAGTGCAGAAATTTGGGTTGGGCACCTTTAAAAGACTTTGAATATCTGACTTCAGCTATGACTCTTGCTGTGGGGAAACCTACTTTTCTTCCATGGGGCTTCCAGGTCCTGAGAAATTTGCCTCAAAATAACATTGCCCTGTAAGGAGAGCATGTGTGAGAAATATATTTTACCTTCACAACCTGAAAGCTGCTTTTCTGTGCAAAAATAGCTCAGAAGGGAAAAACAGTCAGGAGGGGAAATTCACATTTAAATGTTGGGGGGTATTAAAGCATCTTCCTGGCAAGCCACCTAAAGTTGAGCAGCATGAAAGAAGTGGCAGATGAGACAGAAATGCCCCTTGCTGCTGGATGCAGGTTGGACATCCAGACTTTGTCTGAAACACAAATTCAGCTCTTTGGGAGGATACTTTGAGCTCTTCCCTGCTTGCCTGTGGGCCAGCTGAGCTCCACATGGCAAAGCCCCAGGAGAAGCCCTTGGGAGGGCAGTGCCAGTTGTAGCTGCTGCTTTTGGTGGCACATGTGACCCTGCTGGTGGCCTGCAGGGCAGTGGCGTGCGTGTCATGTGTCACTCTGAAATACCTTAATGTTTCATTCATCTCTGATAAGGTAAGCAGCCTGAAATAAGCTCTGTGGCCTGGCAGGGGCTGTGTGGGTTGGAGATTTGAGCTGCAGCTCCCGCCTCAGCAGGGTGGGATGCAGCAGAGCTATCCTGGGAGCTTTCACAGCAGGGAGGCTCAACCCGAGAGTTTCATCCCCCCCTCTGTGTCTCAGGGTGCTCATGGGTTTGCTTTAGTGAGCAGTTCCTGATAAATCATGTTGTGCTGTTGCGCATAATCACTGTTTGAAACGCTGTCTCAGTGAGAATTTATTGTATGAAAACCTTCTGTGTGGTTACACTTGGATTTTATGTGATAAATAAAACCCCCATTTATTCAGCTGTTCACAGCACACTCTTAATACCTCAGCTTAGTTGCCTCCCTTTTAACTTTATTGCTGGGCACATACCAAGTAAACTCCAGATGAAACAGCTCTGAGATTTGAGGGAAGTTCCCATCTAAGCTGAGTGTCCTCATCTATGAGCACAGAAGCCCCTGCTCCTCTCCAAAGCATTTTTTTAGGACAACTGCAGCTCTGATCTGCAGCACATTTAAATTAAGACACAATTCTGAGGTCACTGTGCCATGGATCAGATGTAGAAGGGTAAAATGATTTCCTGAAGGTTGATTTTGCTGCATCTGTGCAACTTGGTGCTAAGGAAAATCAGCCCAGTGGTAAGGGTGATCTTAATCTCCTTAAAATGCTTTTTAATACCTATAAATATTTGTATTTTTTGAAACTCTGCATTTTAGTGGAATATTCTGGCTGAGCCAACATAAATACCTGGCCTTTTGTGTGCCCCACAATGCTGAAAATCCTTTTAACAGGCCTTGTGCTTCTCCACATGTTAATGCCTGTGTCTTTGTGAGCTGCCACTTCTCAGCTCTAATGGATTGTATAAAGCGTGAGTGTTGAGTTACAGGACCACAGGGGAGAAGGCAGCTAAAGTCACTAAATTTAAACCAGCAGGATCTGAGCCAAGTCTGGAGAGAAGAAAAATGGCCATCAGAAATTGCATCAATCCTTGAAGCTAATTTGTCATTTTTGCTTTGTTTTGACCGAGGTGCGAGGCTGCCGGGCAGGGTGGGGGGCTCAGCTCTCCCTGCACCTTCTGCTTTGAAACCAAACCCCACAGCAGCCAGGCTGCTCTGCTGGGATGTGTTTGGGAAGTCTGTGACCTGACCTCAGTGAGGAAGAGATTAGAGCTGAGAGACAGGAAAAACAAACAGCTCTGCCCCGGCCGGGGACGCGGCTCCTCCGTGGGCAGCAGCCAGGCCTGGGGGTGCTGGGCCCTTCCAGGTGCTCCAGGGAAAAACGGAGAGGAGTTTGGTGGAGGAAAGTTGGGATGTGGAGGGTTCAGGGCTGAGCTCAGCCTGGCAAGGGCTGGTCACCAGCTCAGAGGGTGGCGCAGAGCAAAACCCTCCTGGGCTGCAGTGACTCAGTGGCACCAGAACCTTTGGGGGATGTCCTGCAGCAGCTCAGGCTGTCAGACAGACAGACAGACAGACAGACAGACTGTGGTTGCAAGTCTGTCTGTGCCTCTCTCAGCAAGGCATTGTGTTTGATGCATCATCAGTGCAGGGGATTGGGAAAACACTGAGTTTTCCCAATCCACACTCGTGTTGGATGGGAGGCTCTCAGTGCTGTGGTTTCTGTGCCTCAGGTTCCTCACCTGTCCTGCACTGCTTTGTTGTTACACTGGGGACTTCTCTGCTTCTAGTGGGGGGTTTCTGGGTTCAGTTTTAGAGCTGAAGCTGTAAATGAATTCTGGCACCCAATCTGGCTGTGATTGTGCAGGGACTAAAGGCATTCAGAGCACAGAGCCCCTGAACATGCACACATTACTCACATCAGGATTGCCTGCTGCACTCTGAAAACAGCAGGCACTGAGTCCAGCCTAGGCAAGAGGCACTTTCTGTTAAGTGCAACTGCTCTTGATGGTCTCTGCTAGTTCAAAAAAAAAAATAAAAACCAAGGGGAAAAAAATTCCAGAGCAGCCCTTGGCTCTGACAGTTTGTCTTGTCTGTCCTGCTGGAGTGGGGAAGCTGTTTCCAATAAGGCAGCGTGAAATAAGAGGCATGTGGGGATGGAAGGTCACTTTACCCCTCTGCACTGATGGTGGGTGGCCATCAGAGGGGCCTGGGAATTGTTTCATGCAGGACAGAATGCTGTCTATGGGAGATGGTGTGGTTTTATAGAAAAGAAGATTAAAACCAACAGGGGAGGGGGTCCCTGGGCTGCCAGTGTGCCACCCTGCAGCAGGAGAGGCTCACCCTGTTCCTCACACACAACATGAGCTTTAGCTCCATGCCTGACCTTGCAGAGGGAGGGACACTTGGATCTACCTGCACTATCAAAGGCACAATTAATTTCTTGTACTGTTCTGCCAGCAGTGAGCTGCTGCATCCAGAGCTGCTGCCAATTTATCATTTTCTAGGATCACCTCAGCTCCAGCTGTGCTCATCACTCTCTAATTGCCCTCTGGGAATTAGTTATAGCCCTGAAAAATGGACTTTTAAACCAGATAGGTTAAATCTCCACTGTAATGCTTTTGTGCAGGAGGAGTCGGGGCTGCTTTTCCTCCTCCTCTTTCGGTTCTGTTGCCAAGGTTGTTTGTCTGGTGGCCAAATTCAAAGCTACTCAGGGCAGCCCAGTAGCTGCTTCTCAACAGTAGCTTGAAATTGTTCTCCTTGACACCTCTCCAGGAGAAAATGATTCACTGAGAGAGGTAGGGACTGTGTCTGAGGGAAGGAATCTTTGCTTGTGAGGGCTCTCCTGAGCCATTCCTTTGGGTTTGCTCAGCAGCTTGGCTTGCTCCGAGCCTGAGCTGCACTTTTGTCACTTTTCCATGAGAAAGGATGAGAAATGAATGTCCTGCCTTGGAAAACAGGTGGCAGGACAAACAAGCTGCTGTTGTGCTCCTTGCTTTGTGGGGAGGGAACAAAAAGCTTAACAGATGCAAGGAGGAAACCACGCTGAATTTAGATCATCATCATCATCATCATGGACAGCCCCAGTCCAGAGCACAGCCCCTGACTGACTCGGGACAGAGCCATAAAAACCCAGGAGCTGCCACCAGGTCATGGGCAAGTCCTGGAAATGTGAGCCCTGCAGGCACTCAGCCAGAGGAGGGCATGGGGAAGGAGCAGAGTACATTAAAAACAAGGCAGTGAGAGGAAGACTTGGTCAAGTGTTTGGTCCTGACAGAATTTGTGGCTCCTGAGCTTTCCTGGTGCTGCTCCTTGGTGGAGCAGGGGCAGGAGATTGTCCTGCAGGTGCCCTGCAGTGCTTTTGCAATGAAACTGCTTCAAAGCCTCAGATCAAGAGGCAAAACCCAGCTGAAGCCAAAGCTGATGCTCTGAAGTGGTGAATATTGGGCTTCCATCCTCACCAAGCTCTCTCTGGCTGGGCACTCATTTTTCTGAGTCTGAAACCCATGACAGTAAAATATGGTAATGGTGTTTTCCTTTTCACAAAACTTTTTCTTGTCTTGATTGTGTTGGCCGGGAGCTTTCTGGAAAGGTGCCTCAGTGTGAGTGTCCAGGGCCCAGCCTTGGCTGGACCTCAAGTTCAGTGTGTAATATGCATGTTATGGAATTACTTGTGTGCAGGAAAATGTAGGTTCTGGATACAGTCAAGATACATCCACTCATGAGCAGTGAGGCTAATCGTGATAAATAAAATTGTTTGTTTGCTGACCTTTTACTGCAATACTTCATATTTAGTTTATAGCAATTTATTTACCTCTAGAGTGAGTGTGTGCAGCTTCTCAATAAACTTTGAGATCAGGAGGGATGAAAGCAAAAGAACTGTGCCTAAGGGTTGGGATTTTTTTTATTTAGTATATTTAACATGTCTGGAATCAGTTTGGGATGCTGGCACTGGGAGTGTCTTTGTGGAAGCCATCCTGGTTTGGTTCTGCATGCTTTGTCACCACAGAAGACTGTCTGACTGCAAATATTCTTATGTAATTGTATAATTTTGTACCTCTCCTGCAGCTCCTTCATTCCCAAGTTCATTAACCATCTCTTCAAGTGCAAACCTATCAGCATGGTGGGTGCAGAACAGGTAAGAAGGAATAGGTGCATTGGCTGTCATGTTTGATGGCTTTTGGGTTCAAGAAATTGAGATATCTCCCACTGCCATGGGCTGGGATTTGGAAGGGGCAGGATTCCATCTGTCCCCTGCACATAGAGATTATTACTCCTGTGGGCTCATAAAAATAAAAAAAGAAAAAGCAAAAAAAAGCAGAATCATCCTTAATGGGACTGCTGTGAACTTCAAATGGGTTCCTTCAAAGCTGCCCGGGTTTTAGGCATCAAAGATGGTTCTGAGCAGTGTCTGCAAAAGGAAACAGGAGCTTTACATCAAAACCTTAATGGAAAGCAAATGAGTGAAGCTCAGTGCCTGTTTGTCTTGTGTGATGAGCAATAACCTGAGAGTGATTAAAGGGGATCTTTTTAAAATAAGCTTCTCAAGTGATTAACCAGCAGTGGGCTTGTGTCTAATGTTAAAAGCTTTCAATATTCCTGTGTGGGAATCACAGGCCCAATTTGCTGCTTTAAAGCAGGCTGGGAAGGTTTTTATTAGGCTGATTCCCAGTGAATCCATGCCATTAGAAGTGGGACACACATCCCTGGGGTTAAGGGTGCAGAGGGCTCAGGAGCTGATCTATCTCTGCAGCAATTCCCTTAAAATCTTTTGAACTCTCCTGGTCACCCAGCAGCATCTTTCCATGCCACTTTCTCCTCCCTGGTGCAAATGTTGCTGGGGAATGCATTTTCCTGGCCTTTCTGGTTCCACACACAGCCTTTCCTGCTGTTTGCTGATAATTACAGTTGGGATATGAATGCTGGGGTGATATTTGTGGAGGTATTCAGTGTTCAGTGCAGGGAACAAGACCTGTGGGGTTTTGCTTTCTCTGTTTTCCTCTCTGACTTATCAACTCTGCACCCCAGCCAGCTTTGGCAGTGACTTAGCAATGCCAGGGGCCTGGGATGGAAAATGGGCTGAGGGGACAGAGTCTGCAGGAGCTGCTCTTTCCTCTGCTTTGAGTTCAGATTTCTGTTCTTCACTGGTCTTGTCTCCCCAGACACACTTTGTGCAATCAGAGGAGTGTGGTATTCAGGATAATTTTGCTCTAAGGAGCCCTGACCCACAGCATTTTATCATGAGACAGTGCTGTCTGTCTGGGCTCAGTTTCATGGCTGCTGCTTATTTATTTGCTGGGGTAGTAACAAACAACATCCAGGCTGTGGGCAGTTGTCAGTGTAGCTGAATTGTGTGACAGTTTTTAAGGAAAAAACCCAATCAAGGGGTTGGGTGAATGCAGAAAACCTGACTGTGTGTGTGGCTGGTGTTAGTTCATTTGACCTCAGTATCAAACCATGGTGCAGCTCCAGGTAACCAAGATTATTTCCCTTCATACTTTTTGGGGGGGAAGGACTGGAAATCTGTGCCTGATGTTCCAGATGTTGGGCTGCCATAAGTCATTTCCAGCCAGCAGAGCAGTGCTGTGTTAAAATCAACCACCATGCTGATCTGTAGCCATGGGGGTGATCCTGTCTCCTGGAAGTGTCATTACATGGCTCAGTCCCTCCTGTTGTGCAGCCAAATTACCAGGACTTCTTCCAGTGTGGGAAGTGTTAAACTTTGAAGGATGTTAAACTTTTGAGGATGTTAAACTTTGAAGAGTGTTAAACTTTTTAGGATGTTAAACTTTGAAGGATGTTGGGTTACAGCAGCTGATGGATTTTGGTGTAGAAGGAGCCTGAGTAACAGAGTGTGGTTAACCCTTGCAGCTGCTGCTGGACACTCACTCTCTGAAGATGGTTCTCCTGGATCTGCCCTCCATTGGGTCCCAAGTGGTGAGGAAGGCTCCTGCCAGCTACACAAAGATAGTGGTGAAAGGCATGACTCGGGCTGAAATGATCCTGAAGGTAACTCAAGCCTGTTGGTACCCTGCCAGCCAGACTGCTGGCCTGGGAATCACAGCAGTGAATTCCAGGGGGCCCTTCCTCTGAATGCAGCAATCTGCAATTGCACATGAGCTTTGTGAGCCTGCCTGGGGGCTCTGCCAGCTGCTCTGCAGACCTGGCTCACTCCCCTTGGGTTTGCCCGCACTCCCTTCTGATACCACTTTGGAGTTTTCACCCTCGCTTTTCAAGGCAACCAAAGGCTCAGGTTTGGGGAGTTGGGGCAGCAGGTTCCCTCAGGAGCTGGTGGAAATCAGAGTTTGCATCCCTGAGGGTCTGCTGTGGTTCAGGTTACTCGAGGCCTTTGTGCAGACTCCTCACTCAGGGGAGCCAAGCCTTGCTTGAGTCACCTGTTTACTGTCTAGTGCAACAGCCAGTGCAAACACGTCTGGCTTACTGTACTCACCAGAGCCCTTTTTCATTTTCCAGACCTGGTGCCTGGAAAATGACCCAAAAGCAGAGTGTTGTCTTCATGAAAAGCAGCAAGCAAAGCAATCTGCCCTTCCCAGTTTGAAGCCAGGTTGGATCCCAGGAGGAGCTGTGGCAGCTGCACAGCTGTGCCCTGCTGGGTGCTGGGATTGTCCCCTGCTGGCCAGCAGTGCTGGGAGGGCATTCCTGGGAGGGAATCAGTGGGACCTGGGGTCAGGCAGGACGGGCAGCTGCCAGCCAGAGCCTCCTGTGAGCACAGCCAGGGCCAGGGGGGTGAGGAGCCTGAGCTGTCCCTGCTCAGCTGCTGCTCAGGGTGGCTCTGCTCCCATCCCAGGGGAGTGTCACAGCTCAGTGTGTGCTCTGGATTCAGACATCAGCTCTCCAGCTCCCTGCTTTTGGACTGAGGTGACTGAAATGTTAATGAATTGTAGTCTAAATTTTCCTAGAAATCACCAGAATAAAAATGTTCCTGGTTTGTGCTAACGGGAGCAGGGAAGATTGGTGCCTGTTGTGTTCAGAGCAGGTCTTTCCTTGGAGCTTGTGTGTGAATCACAAGAGTAATGGAGTTAATTTGTGTACCCTTAGCACCACATTGGAGAGGAAAGCAGCACATGGAGAGCTGCAGGTCCCCAGGCTGTGCAGCAGCAGTGCCACTGCTGTGTCAGTGTCACACAGCCTGTGCTGGCCTCTGTGTGCAGAACTGCAGATCAAACAGCCACAGGCTGACAGCACTGGGAGCTCCAGTCTGTGTTCCCAGGCTGGTTCTGGGGCAGGTAATTCAGGAAGACAAACTTTGGGCCCATGGGCAGCACAAACAAGTCCATTGAGCTGAGCCCCACAGATGGGAGTGGGGAGGAGGGCCCTGGGCCATGCACACCCTGCTGAGCTCTTTCCCTTCTCCTCTGGCCACGCTCTCTGAAGCTCCAGCTTTTCATCTTGGCACAGGATTTTTACAAGGGCTGTAAATTAAGGATTTATAAGTGTATACATGGCTATGATGTTTCAGTGGTCTGAAGTGCAGGGAAAGAAAGAAATGTCTTGGTGACAGAATGCAGTGTGGGGTGAGCTGGGTCAGTGCAAACATATGGAAATGGTTTTGGAGATGGGGAAGGGTCTGGTCTGGTGCTGTTTCTGCCCATTTACACACACTCAGACAAACACACACACACTCTTCCCCAGAAGGAAGGTTTGGCTGCCCAGCATTATCAAAAGATGTGTTCTCTGTGGAGCTTGCTGCTGATGTAAGAAAAGCCCATCAGTGAGGGATCATCTTACCAGCTTTGATGCTGTTTTGATTTTTTTCCTGTTTTTTATGATTGCTCCTGGGCAGATGTTGGTGGGGGTTCCCATCCTTCATCCCTCCTCTCCAGAGGGGTGTCCAAGAGGAGCTGCAGCCCAAGGACAGAGAGGCTGTGTGTGGCCATGTCAGGAGAGCTGCAGAGCAGAGAGCTCTGGCCCTCGCTGTCCTGGGCACTGAGGGGGTGACCAGAGTGTTGTCACATTCCCCTGTGACACGCTGTGTGTCCTGCCTGCAGGCAGGAGGGAGCAGGAGGGACACACAGCCAAGCTGAGGGTCTGGACTCTGTCCAGGCTGCCTGATCTCCTGGGACTTTGTGAGTGTCACCACCACTGCCAGCACTGTCCCCTGAGCAGCTCCCCAGCTTGTCTTCCCTCTGCAGCATGATAAAATCTTGAGCTTTAACAATGCCCCAGTGCCTGCCAGCCCACAGGCCACAGACAAAGTCCTGCTGCCCTTTGAAACAGGATGCAGAGCCCATGAGCAGCACTGCTGTGCTGAGAGAGACCCAACTTCCTCCCTGTCCTTTCTCTGCTTCTCTTCACTCACCTTTACCCCTCTCATATCCAGCCCCTTTCTTGTTCCTTAGACATTTTATTTTAGGAGCCAGCCCTGCTGTCACTCCTGTGCCAGAGCTGACTGAGCACTGCCTTTAATTCCTATTATTTGTCTGATCTCTTTTTCCTTGTCTTGGCAGGTGGTGATGGCTCCACACGAGCCCCCAGTTGTGTTTGTGGACAATTACATCAAGCTCCTCGCTGACTGCAGCACTGACACATTCCAGAAAATCCTCGACATGAAGGTGAGAGGATGGGAATCTGCTCATCCTCTAGTAATGCTTGGGGATTGCTGGGGGCTTTAATTCAGTGTGAATTCTGAGGGGCTTGGGGGGTGAGAGAAGCACTGTAAGTTTATCTTTACTTTGAAAGTAGACGTGCTGCTGGAGAAAAGGTTTTGAGTTTGTTTCACATTTTGATACCTGCTCCGCTCGGGGTTGTTCAGGGGTCTCTGGTGGGTGAGTCTTTGAGGTGGAGGTTTGAGATGGGCTCTGCTGCACTGCTGGCAGGTCATTGAGTGCTGTCCTTTGCTCCCCAGGGCCTGAAGAGGAGCGAGCAGAGCAGCATGCTGGACCTGTTCCGCCTGCGCCTCCCCTCTCCTCCCCCCGGCGGCGACGGCTCGGGCTCGCTCTCGCTGAGCGCTCCCACGCCCGAGCAGGAATCCTCCCGCATCCGCAAACTGGAGAAGCTCATCAAGAAGAGACTCTGAGGGAGCACGGGGGGAGCTCCCTGCCCCGGGGCTGCTGAGCTGGGCAGGCTGTGATTTACACCCTGTGCTGTCCCTCCCAGCCCCTGTGATCTCTCAGCCATCGCCGCTTTCGGACCGAGGAGGAATCTGAGCAAGGTGTTGCCCTCAGCTTAGCAGGAGTGAAACCCAGGGCATTGCCAGGTCCATGTGACGGAGAAAATAGAGGCACCTGGAAGGCAGCAGTACAGAAAGCATTCAGGTGGATTCAGAGCCTGTCTGGCTGTGATGCACTTGGGGTCACAGCTTTTACCCTGGCTGAGCTCCTGCTGCAGCACTGAGGGTTTTGCCTCAGTTCTCACTCCCTGCGGCAGAGCTGTTCCTCTGATTCGTTATTTATTGTGGGGTGGGGGGAACCAACCCCATCACCACCACGAAAACCCCAACCCTTTATCAGCTGGGATCCAGGCACCTGCAGCTCCACTGCATCAATGAGATGCCCAGGAGGGAACCCCAGGGCAGATTCCTCCCCTGCTCCCAGGACAGGCATGCACAAAGCCCCATGAAACAGAAAGGCAAATCCTTGGCACCTCTGCTGCCCTGCAGGGAGAGGTGCTGGAAATGCTGGCTCTGTCAGGGAGCCAGGGTCACTTGGTGGCACAGGAGGCTTTCAGCAGCCTCAGGCTTCAAGGCCCTCCTCCTCCTCCTGTTCCTCTGAGCCTCAGCTTGCAGAGGGGAGGAGAAGCAGCAGTGGAATATTTTGGATAACCCAGCCCCTCTTCCCATGGGCCAGCTCCTGGCTCCCAGGCACAGAGCCAGCGTGGAGCAGGGCTGGGATCAGTGGACGCTTCTCCAAGGAGTCTCCATGCACTGAGGCCTCACCTTTTTATTAGCACTGCTGGATTTCTTCCCAAACTCCTCTGTGCCCTTTCTGGGAGACTTTGAAGGCGTTTCCCCAACCATGAGTGCATCCCATTGGGTGTAGGGCAGATCAGCCAGTCGTGCCTGTGTTATTTAACTCAAGCTTCACTTGCATGTGCAGGAAAGGGAAGTCCCGTACCAGTGTGGCAGGTGAGGAACAGCCACGCTGTCAGATGCCTTCCTGGGAGGGTTGTACTCCCCACCAGGGCAAGTTTGGGCCTTAGGACTGTATTTATTTAGGGGCTGTACTCACAGGGATTGTAAAAATCACTGCTGCACATCAGGGAGGGCAGATCAGGCTCCAGGAACATGAGCTCCATCCACCCAGAGCTTCACTGGGATGGGAAGGAAAGAGCAGCAATAACAACACCTGTGGGGAGGGACAGCAGTTTCTCATCACTCCAGATTTACAAATCTGCTGTTGCCTCCTGATTCCCTGATAGGTGACAGAGGAAGGAATGGTTGAAAGCACATTGGAATTCTGAGCAGCCATTCCCCAAGGACAGATTATCTCAAAGTGCATGTGCAGGATGGCTCACGAGGTGCCACACTGCAGAGCTGGAGAGGAGGGAACATGGGTTTGCAGAGATTCATTATTCCCATGAGGGGATGAATAATTTATTTTAGATGAATTTTTCTTTGCTTTGTCTAAGGCTAAGTCTCTCACTAAATTATGAATAGCTGAAGACGATGTTGAAGTTATCATCGTGTGTCTTACCCAAAGGCTTCCCCCATTTCATTCTCTGCATTTCATTCTGTAGATAAGAGGAAATAAAATGAGAAATGAATTTTTAGTTTCAGCCTTTGAAGAACGCTACAGGGCTGAGTGTTTGGAGTTTTATTTTCAGAGAACAAATCCACAGTTTCCTACTTCTGGCGTAAGAGTTTTGTGCCCCTGGCTCTTGGGTGTTTATTAGATTTGGCAGGTCTCTATTTGTGCATTAGCTCTTTGGAGTTTACAGCTTTGGGGAATAAAGGATGATTACGTGTTTTCTGTACAAAATGCCACTTTTTATGGTTTCAGACTGGGGTGTAATCCTGGCTGTACGTGGGGTGTGACACTAACGTGAATTAAATGGTAACTGATGCTCATTGCTGGGTGTTTCTGTACGGCTGCAAATCCCAGTGGCTGGGATGGACCTCACCCAAACTGTGCTGGACCCAGCACTCCCTGCTGTCCATCTGCTCCTGCAGCTCCTCTCTGCCTTTTCCACCTCCTCTGGCACCATCCCCATCCACAGCAGCTCCCTGCCCCATGTGGGTGGCTCAACACTCCTGACCTTGCGCCCCTAAATAATCACATCAGTTCTGCTGTCTGCCACTGCGGGAGCGATTTCTGGGAGATCCGAATTTTTCCTTTGGAATTAATTAAGGGGTAGTGCCTTTTTCCACGCTCTGCATGACGCTGGAGCAGCTCCTTTCACTCAGAGCATTAATGACTCATTTGCTTTTCTCCTGCCCCCTCCGCCCTTGGGCAGGAGCAGCGCCGGGCGCTGGGTGTTCCTCTCTTCCCCCGGGTTTACAGCCAGCACTCTGAGCATCCCAGTGACGATGGCCAAGCCTCCACGAGCCTCTGCTTGGCTCCACGAGGGCGGTGGCAGCAGGGCTGTAAAAGCTGATGAAACCTCAGCAGCTTCAGCCACGTGCTGTCAGCGCTCGTCCCTGCCATCAGTGCTCTGTGGCACAGCCTGGCATGTCCCATCCTCTGGAAATAACTTCCCAAAGTTGTTATTATTATTATTTCCAAAGTTTTATCATTTTCAGGTATCACAGGATCCTTTTGGTCTGCCTCTCCCAGCAATGGGGCTGTCGCGTGGCATTGCCTGTGGTTCCATTGCTGATTAAGCCGAGCACGCCCAGCCTCGTGGAAAGTCCTTTATGGAAGGAGGATCTTGATAAGAGACTTTTATCTGCCCCATCCTGCCTGTGTGTGGGCAGTTAAAGAGTAAATAATGTGGACAAACAGGCAGGGGAAAAGATTTCCAATGGCATCAGGGATGGCACGGGTTGGTACAGTTTGAGACTTAAAAGCAGTCAGACTTTCCGAGGGGGCAGAGTACACGTCCTGAAAAAGCTGAGCCCCTGTACACAGTGACTCAACAGTATTTGAGTTATTGAGCAGTTAAAATTCTGCTTAAACGATTCCTTTCCATCCTAGCAGGCAGAATTGCAGGTCTGGATGTTGGTGCTGCAGGAGACCCTCGGGTGGGCTGCAGAGCTCAGAAATGAGAACCTGGAAGGGCACAAAAAGTTACCCTTTGTGTCAAGCCACGCCAGAATGGAAGGTTTTTTTGCTGGTAAATATGGAGCAGAAAGGTTTCCAGGAGCTCTGCCTATCCCAGGCACTGAGATCCCTCTCTCTTGGACCCTGATCCCCATGGGAGTGGCTGTGGGAGCAGCCACAGCTCTCAGAGGTGACTGCTGGGATGTGCCACAAGTTTCCCCCTCCTAAACTGCACGTAGTGAGTTGTTGGCAGCGTGGGTTTCCACCCAGGAGCTGCACAGCAGCTCTGAAATGATGATTGTGTTCATCTGGAAACTGCTCCAGTGCCTTCCAAGGCATCTGATTTCATAAAGGGCTTTTATGGGAGATTTTGGAGCAAGGACTGATCAGTTTTCCTATTGCTTGCAGAGACCAGCATCTCTTTTTTTTGGGGGGGGGAGAGGGATACACTTAAATTAGAAAGAAGAAAACACCTGTCCAGCACATTTGCTCAGACCCCAAAGATTTCAGTCAAAATTCTTAATGTTCCTTTTCTTTCCATCTGCATTTTTCAGCAAAGACAAACAGCCTCATAGTATTTCTTCAAAGGAATGTAAATTCCTTGAGGAAGTCTCCGGAGTTCCCAGCACCGCATAGCTGCAAACCACAGACGCCTACGGCTGAAAGTTCTGCTCTGCTTTTAATTTTGGGGCAGGGAAGGAATTTTTTTCAGAGGTTTGGGTTCACTTGTGCTGGGCCCATCAGCCCAGACTGCTGCTTTCTGTGCAGGGGAGTGTTGACTTTGGCCGGCTGCAGGGTTGCTTTCCCTCCACAAGAGTATTCCCCCACCAAATCTGATGACATGGCGCAATTATTTCATTAGGATTTTCCAAAAAAGGTTCCCTCGCTCTCCTGTAGTGCTAGAATGACCGTTTCCTTCTGTTCTCTTGTTTCAGCTTCGGCAGCTTTGCCTGAAAAATGCAATTAGGGGCAGCAGTGCTGCTGCCTGAGCCTGAATGCTTGGGATTGGGGAGGGAGAAGGAGCAGCCTGGAGGGAGAACTTGGGGGGTTCAACCAGCTGCCAAAATCCCTGTTCTTGGGGAAAGCACCACTGGAGGTGGGGGCAGCCCAGCAGGATCTGGCAGCTCTTTCAGTGCTCCCCAAAATCCGTGCTGGCAGCACATTGGGATGGTGCACTGTGGGTTGGAGCAGGATGTGTGGAGGGCAGCTCATCGGGCACGGTTCCGCAGAATCCCAGAATCATTTAGGTTGGAAAAGAGCTCCGGGATCATCGAGTCCAACCCGGGAGCCATCCCCACCTTGTCAGCCCCACCACAGCACTGAGGCCGGTCTGTCCTTACCCAGGGACGGTGACTCCGCCACCGCCACCTTCCACTGGCAAATTCCGAGCGAGGGGATGGGAGTGGGGTCACCAGGAGCGCAGGGACTGCGCGAAAACGGCGAGCACCGGCAGGACGGGGACAGCCCGGGGAACGGGGACACCGGTGGGATACAGGGACACGGGTGGGACACGGGTGGGACACAGGGACACCGGTGGGATAAAGGGACATGGATGGGACATAGGGAGACGGGTGGGACACAGGGACACCAGTGGGATAAAGGGACATGGATGGGACATAGGGAGACGGGTGGGACACAGGGACACCAGTGGGATATAGAGACACGGGTGGAACATAGGGACACGGGTGGGATACAGACACACGGGTGGGACACGGGTGGGACACGGGGATACGGGTGGGGTACAGAGACACGGGTGGGACACGGGGACACGGGTGAGACACAGGGACACGGGTGGGACATGGCTGGGACACAGAGGCACGGGTAGGACACGGGGATACGGGTGGGGTACAGAGACACGGGTGGGACACGGGTTAAACACAGGGACACGGGTGGGACACGGGTGGGACACGGGTGGGGTACGGAGACACGGGTGGGACACGGGTTAAACACAGGGACACGGGTGGGACACGGGTGGGGTACGGAGACACGGGTGGGACACGGGTGGGACCCAGGGACACCGGTGGGACCCGGGGCTCGCCCCGCCCCCGTGTGGCCCCTCCCCGGGCCGCCCCGCCCCGCCCGCCGCCGCCGCCCGGGCGCAGGCGGCGCAGGGAGCGCAGCGCGGGCAGGGGCCGGGCCGGGGCAGGCGGCGGCGGCTCGGCCATGGTGGGGCGGCTCAGCCTGCGGGAGGTGCCCGACCTCCCGGAC